GTGCTTCCCTGGGCAGCCACACTTCCTGCTCTCTTTTCATCTCTCGTTGTGTCAATTTGGCTGCCATGTTCACCTCCAAAATACACACAGTCACACCACTATATCCCAGTATATCCCGTGTAGCTCTTTGAGGCGTATCCACGACATGGTAAAGCTCCATATGAAATGCTAGGATTATTTTTTAATCATTATTACTCCTGACATCAAAGTAGCTTTATTACTGTAATGTTTCATGGTAAACAAGCTGAAAGGACAGTCAGTGCAAAGAACCAGTTTAAGGCTTTCAAGTCAAAAAAAATTGAAATACTTCCTCCCTGTTGCTTCATGCTTGTCCATGGCAACAAGTTTCAAACCAATGATTATGTCTGTAACATGAATAGGATACACATTATTGAAACCCCTGTGGCAATGGGAAATGAACTGTGTGCGTTGTCATTGATGTAACTCACTCATGGTGGCAGTTCCATAAGCCACTGTCCCCTGACATCTATCCTCCATTCTTTCGATAACAGATTATATGAAATTAGAATTCACATGGCACCAGTGTAACTCTTGAGCATCACCAAAACTAACTACACTTACTGTTCACCACTCCTGAATGGCTCGCGCCAGCGCCTCTAAACCTTGGGCGCTGGCAGTATCAGCCTCCACGGCTGTACATTCAACCTCACCGAGCCAGTCAGGAACCTGGGTGTCCTGTTTGACCTTGAACTGTCCTTTCTCCCCCACATCCGCGCCATGACCGGCACCGCCTACTACCACCTCCGCAACATTGCCAGACTCCGCCACTGTCTCACCCCTCAGGCTGCCCAAACCCTCACCCACACATTCGTCACATAAAGGCTCGATTACAGAAATTCCCCCCTCATCGGCCTTCCCAACCCTTCCCTTCACAAGCTGCAGATCATCCAAAACTCTGCAGCTCGTGTGCTCTCACGCACCAGACTCCATGACCCCATCACTCCCACCCTCGCCCGACTCCACTGGCTCCCAATCCCCCAGAGGAATCGAGTTCAAGATCCTTGTCCTCACTTTCAAGACCATCCATGGCCTTGCCCCCTCCTACATCTCTAACCTGATGGCTCCCTACCAACCTGCCCGCTCCCTCCATTCAGCGGGCTCCGGCCTGCTCCATGTCTCCCGCCCGACCCGCCCTACCATCAGTGGCCGGGCTTTCAGCCTCTCTGCCCCCACACTCTGGAACTCCAACCCACGGTCCCTTTGCTTCGCCTCTCCCTTGCCTCCTTCAAGGCCGGTCTCAAGATCCTCCTCTTCATTCGTGCCCTCGCTCGCCCTCCCACCTCACTGCCTTCCCTCACCCCTACCCCACCCTTCCCCCAGGCTCGGGTCCTGACCCCTGACTGTCCAGGATCTTGGGACGTCCTCCTGACATGAAAGGCGCTCTATAAATGTAATTTTGTTGTTGTTGTTAGTCAATTGGATGATCGCTTTTCTGGGGATAATAATCCCTTAAAAAAAATGTTGTCACTCAATCCACGACTGTTTGTGGGACACTGCTGTGCGCAATTGGCTGCCGTGTTTCACCCACAAAATATACAGTCAATTTACTTTACAGTGTATTCTGTGAAGCACTTTGAGACGTCTCGAAGACATGATAAGGCGCTATATTAAATTCAAGCATTATTATTATAATGTAGTTAGCAGATAAGTCAGTCTACCTTAGTGAGATACTTCTCTTTCTCTATCTTTGCTCTAAGGCAGCATCCAAATTGTACAGATAATTACACATTGCTCGTAAAATTACTGCTAAGTATGTTTGTTTTCCCCTTGGAGAGTTCACAGGAATAATTTGCTGATTGCTGATGTCCCTACCCCAAGCTTTGTAATCAGTTTATTTGAGTGAAGCACTCAAGTCTCAAGCTGCAGCTTGCATCATCTCAGGCAAATAGGACTTTTTCTCAAGAGCGAGGACATTCTACTGAATGCAAGCTGATCCCTCCAACTTTTTTGTTTCTAGGCTTCATGTGTAGGTGTCGACCTGGCTCAGTTGATAGGTTGTGGGTTCAAATCCCATTTCAGGACTTTGAGCTCATAGTCCAGGCTGATATTCCAATGCAGCTATGGGGGGGAGGCGCCTCATTAGCTGACACATCAGATAAAATGTTAAACTGAGGTTTCCGTCTGCCTGTTCACTGGGAGAAACGCTCTCACTCTTTCTGAATAGGCCCATGGGATCTTCAATCTTTAATGAATATTTTTTGGAAACAACGATAATAATAAACATATTCTTCCGTGACATGTTAGCACACTGTAGAGATGTCTCAAAGCGAATACACTGTAAAGTGTAGGGACTGTGTATTTTATGGGTGAAATGTGCAAAACATATTCCTTGTCCTCCTTAAAGATCCGAAGGCACTGTTGGGAAAGAGAAGGGAGTTTATCCCAGGGTCTTGGCCAACAATCCTCAGATAAAAAAATTGGTCATTCACTTTGTGGGTATTTGTCTGCTCACCTACAATACACAGTCACTGGGCTTTGCAGTAAATTTCTATATCCAAAGAGCACTTACGATAATTCTATGCCACTCATATAGAGAAAGGTCTTAAATACTCCCCAGTTTTTGAATATTATTGTGCAAAACTGCAATACATCAGGTCGGCTATAATATTCAGAGATATCTAGTCAGCAAAATTTGGTTTGCAACTTTGATTTTGGGTCTATACAACATAATGCCTCACAGCGCCAGTCAACTCAATTGCAGAAAAATAGCTTTTATCTGAAATCCCCCGAGATTCATCATTTTAGATTGTGTAACCTGAAGCAGCAATAAACCCAAACCCCAAATGATACCAAGTAGCGAGAGAGAAGAGAGTGCATTTCAGAGTCAAGATAACACTTCAAAGAGAGAGATGAGTAACATCAGAGACAATAAAGGCATTTAGTGGAAAGCAAGGTTGGTTAATTAAATTAGCAATCATTAAATAAGAAGAGACAAAAAGGGCTTGAAAGAAAACTACAACTATTTTCAGGACATACTGCTTATCTGACGCACTATGCATATTCAGCGATCTATATTCTACTCAGTCACTCATTCTAATGGACTGAAAAATTGCCAAGAATTGAAATCTTTTCTGGAATTGCTGAATTATTATAGGAATTTTATGGAAAATTTGTGTTTTAACAGCATTCTGCTCTGCTTTCACTAAAAGAAACACTAATTTACAATGACTTACATTGCATTGTGCCTTTCACGTCAGGAGTGTATCTCAAAGTGCTTCATAGGATATACTGTAAAATTTAATGATAGTGGATTTTGTAGGTGAGTGTGGCAGCCAATTTGAACACAGCAATGTTCCACAAATAGCCATGAAATGAATGACCAATTTTATCTGAGGGATTGTTGGCCAGATTACTGGGAGAAACAGCTTTCTCTTTTCGAGTCGTGCCATGGAATCATTAATGTCCACCTGGACGGGCAAAGGGGGCCTCTTTGATGTTTAACCCCTGATCCTAAGGACGGCACCTTCTACAATGTAATACTCCCCCAGGACTGCGTTGGAGCACAAGCCTACACTATGTAAATTCAAAGTCCCGATGTGAAGGGTGCTGTATAAACAAATGCAAGTTGTTGTTGAGATTGCAGTAGTGGAACACTTTCAGCCTTAATTTGCGGTCAGAAAAGCCAACAAGTTTTTTTTGAAGGGAAGCAGAAATTGGCTCTGAACACAACTTGCATTAACATTCATTAAATAAATATGAACATGATAATGCAGTATGATACCATTGTTTCCAGCTGCTTCGTCTTGTACATTGCATTCAAGATGAAGCAGAATGAGATGTCCACCTAAAATGTTTTCACAGCGGACTGTCAAGAGCATTATTTTCCCAAAGGAGCTGTTTTGAGAAATATTCTTATTTATCCAATTCATAGGATTGTGAAGGATTGCTGATGCATCTGAAATGCCCGTGGCAACAATTAGGGCAAAAATTAAAGGTCATTGTGAAGAAGAATTTGCATTTTATAGCATCGTAATTTCTTTTTAAAAAAATGTCATTTTTAAAAATTTTTTTGAAGGGTAATAATCCCTTCAAAATAATAATAATTATCTCACTCAATCCACGACTGTTTGTCTGACACTGCTGTGTGCAAGTGGCTGATGCGTTTCATCCACAAAATATACAGTCAATTCACTTTACAGTATATTCCGCGAAGTGCTTTGATACGTCTTAAAGACCCGATGAGGCGCTATATCAAATGCAAGGTGTATTTTTATCCACCGGAAATGCAGCACCCCTTACTGAGTATTACACTGAAGCATCAGCCTGGACTAGTGAGCTCATGTCCCCAGAAGTGTCTTAAACCCATAACCTTCTGATTCAGAGAAAAGAACGCTAATACTAATGGAGTCAGGCTGATGCAATATTAACAGGGGGGCAACTTAGCAACCAGATTTGTACATTTTGCCTTGGAAACCCATTGCAAAACATTGAAAAAAAAAGAAACAGACCATCATTTGTTGTGGTGTGTTTTTTCGGGGGGGTGGGGTGGGGTGGCTGGGACAAAACGAATGATTGTGAAGAGATAAGGTGTGGAATTAAATTGACTGACTCCTCACCAGCAATAAATAAATAGTGATTGGGTGCACCAAGTCTGAAAGCCACTCTGTCAGAGCACTTCTGCTCAGATTTCTTTTCACCAGCCTGCATTAAAGCTCTATAAATCAATATTAATTTCTAGTAAATGTTGCTATTAAGGCTGCTTCTCGCTCTCTCTCCCCCCCCCCAACCCCCAACCCCAACCCAACCTCTCACCCTCACTCCCTCCCTCCCTCCCTCCAGCTTTGGAGAGCTGAAAGCCCAGCTAATTTACCAGCCTCCTTAAGTTTCCCCCCAAGTGTTTTGATATGCGTTCAATGGTTGGTTTATATTAAGCCAAGGCAGACCACGTCTCCATTTGCACTGCTACTTAAAGAGACTGAAAGAGATAGTAGGGCTGCTACTGTCATTGCCCACTTCTCCCACTTGGCCACAACAGAAGGATGTCTTCCCAAGATGTACCAAGTCCTGCTGTCAAATGCAAGCGACGTTGTGTTAAAGTCCTGCGAGCGATTTTCCCTCACTTGTTCCTGGTTTCCCTGCTGGTGACGTACGCTGTGGTGGGAGCGTTCATCTTCCAGCAACTGGAGAGTGGGATCAAGGAAACGGAGGATTATGATCAGTTCCTCAATAGGTTGTGGAATATTACCCTGACCTCAGAGAGTTCAAAAGGTAAGGAAGGGGTTTGCTTTGCGTCTTCCTGCAAAGAAAATAAATGTCCCCCCACTATCTCCACCCCTCTTGAAAGTAATCTTTTTTTTCCCCACACACACAGAGTCGTTCAAAGCAAAGATTCTCTTGAAATAATGTCAATGTGCTCTTCGCTTGCTGGCAAGACTGGTACAGTACAGTCTGCATTGCTGTGTGGCGCTCCCAATGATAAGTCTTCCCTGTATGTGTTTTTGTGTATCTGTAGGTCTGCGTGTGTTATTGTGTGTGTCTACGTTATTGTGTGTGTGTGTTGTGTGTGTGTTATTATATGTGTCTGTGATACTATGTGTGTGTGTGTTATTGTGTGTGTCTGTGATACTATGTGTGTGTGTCATTGTGTGTGTCTGTGATATTATGTGTCTGTGATATGTGTGTCTGTGTTATTGTGTGTGTGTCTGACTCCAGGCTTGCAATCAGAGGGGACCTGTTGCTATTCAAACAAAATACCATTCGCTCCTGCGAAAATGCTCTTGCTTCCCTCCCTTTACAATGATATACAAACGAGAGAGAGAGAGAGAGGCTTTAATCCAAGCAGCTTGCTGTCTGTCTTAGTTAGACACGGTCATTTGCAGTCAAAATCTATTTACTTACTTGTTTATTCATTAATTTATTTACAGGGAATAAGACTGCAAAGATGTTCTTCAAGGAGAGAGTGAAGATGGAGATGGAAAATTTCCAGTCACACTGGTTAATTCGTAAAAGTAACTGGACCTTTCTGGGCTCCTTGTTTTTTTCCTGTACAGTGTTCACAACAGTGGGTAAGTCAACTTTCCAGTCATTGCTACGGTTCACAGACTCGATAAACAGCTCGGATGAATTCAGTCAAGTTTCCAGGCATGTTCAGATACAGTTCAGATATAAAAGTCCTATATATATATAGATATATAGACAACGTGTTAAAAGATTCCAACTGCACTTTCAGGACACCCCACCCCCCTCCCCAGCCTCCCTGCCCTTAAAATGAAATGTGATTATTGTGTTTTATTTAGATTCTAAATTCCTGTTTGAAATGACTTTACTTACCTAACATGGCATTAGCAGTACATTTTGGAAAATGTGGTCTTCCGCCTTCAAAAATATTTACGTTTGCCTGTGTGTGTTGTGGTCTCACAAAAGGACGCAGATATCAACCCTCCCCCTCCCCCCCACCCTCGGGGAAGAAGAGCATAAAACTTGGATAACTTATGTTTTTAATAATAATGATGATCCCTGCGTTTACTTTAGCGCTTTATCATATCGTTCAGACGTCTCAAAGCGCGTCACAAGTTTGCATTGTAAAGGATTTTGTGGGCGAAACAAGTTGTTGGTGGGAAAGAGCAAAGCGTCGTTGCCACTGGTGTCAGCAAAGCCAGAAAACAATCTGTAGGCGAGTGTTTGGATGGTTTCTGACAGCAGAATAGCATATGCACACCATGAAGCTAAGCTTATATTATGAGCAGTTTGACAATTCTTTGGCAATTCATTATTTGCAGCGTCTGTTTCCAATGCAGGAAACAGGTCGGTGGATTTGTTGTGAAGCACAAATTAAAGCGCACGGATAAGCGGCCGTTGTTCCTCCTGAGAGTCTGACGCTTTTGATGTAGCGCCTTATCACGTCGGTGTGACGCCTCAAAGAGCTTCACTGCATGTACTGTAAAGTGGATTGATTGTGTGTTTTGTGGGCGTACTGCAGCAGCCAGTTGCACAGAGCAGTATCCCACAAACAGCCATGGAATGAATGACCAATTTTATTTGGGGGATTTGTTGGCCAGGACACCGGGAGAAACTCCCTTCTCTTTTTGAACAGTGCTGTGGGATCTTCTCCTTTCTGTTTTTGAACAGTGTGAAGTTCTGTAGCTCAGTGGTTAGAGCACTCGCCTCACAAGTGAGAGGACCTGAGTTTGATTTCCGGGCAGAGCAAAATGTTGGGCGGGTTTCCTTACTTCACACACCTCTGTTTACCTAGCAGTAAATAGGAACCTGGTTGTTAGTAGATCGGTCGATTGCTTTTCTGAGGGTAATAAGCTCTTAAAAATAAATAAATAAACAATAATTTGGTCACTCAATCCACGACTGTTTGTGGGACGCTCCTGTGCGCAATCAGCTGCCCCGTTTCACCCACAAAAAATACGATCAATTCACTCTACAGTATATTCTGTGAGGCGCTTCGAGACCTCTTGAAGGAGTGATAAGGCCAATGCAAGGATTATTATTATTATTATCTTTAATTTCCACCTGAACTGTCAGTTTAACCTCTCGTCGGAAGGATTATGTCTGTTCTTATACGTATGCCTAACTCGCCACTCTGGATATCTCGTCACCGAACCATTTTCCCTTGGATAGATGAGATAGCAGGAGCTTACTGCATATTATAAGTGTGTTTTTACGTCAAATTTCCCTCCACTTGTGCTTGCCCTTGTGTGAATGAGTTTCTATGTGGGTGTTGAGTGATCCTTTACAGGAGCAGTTCTTTGTGAGATAAGCCTTTTCTTGCTTACCTTTCAAACTCCATAAAGGTTCTCGTGTGACATGGAAGGTTCATAAACTCATTAAGTCATCCATATGAATTTAGACTGTCAGACTCATTAACTGGAATAAGATCTAAACGCCGAATTAAAATGTTGGGTTTGGTTGGTGTGCCTCAACAACTGTCCCATACAACAACAAAATGCTTTTATTTTGGATCTGAATATACTTTCCCGATGACAATATTCATGTGTAAGTTCACTGGTGAGAGCTTTGGGAGAAAATCAGGCAAATGGAGATCGTAGCATAGTGGTTACCGTGCTTGCCTTGTAAGCGAAAGGACCCGGGTTCGATTCCCGGCAGGGTGAAACCTTAGGCAAGTTTCCTTCCTCTACACGCCTCGGTTTACCTGGTAGCAAGTAACAACCAGTTTCCCTTGGTTGTTAGTCGATTGGTGGATCGCTTGCCGGGCTAATAATTCCTCAAAAAAAAAATTGGTCACTCAATCCATGTCTGTTTGCATATTCTGTGAAGTGCTTTGAGATGTCTTGAAGATACGATAAGGTGCTATATCAAATTAAGGATTATTATTATATTATTATAAAGCAGAAATCCTACAATTCTACAATGTGAAGCTCTTTTAACTTTTACGCTGGCATTTTATTTCAGTTTTTAAAACAATCTTTATGGAGATGATTCTGCTTATCATTCTTTTTTTGGTAGAACTCCCATCATAAGATATTGTGCACTGCCAAATATAAGCAAATCTACCTATGAGATGTAGAATTCTCAGCTTGGTTTGGATATTTGTAAGCATGGTGATGACTTTCCACATATGTCCTACACGCGGCTGAACAAAAGGGGATAATTATACCCCATTCCCCATATTTCTGAAAATGAATAAAACACCAAATGTATTTCTACATAGCTACGTGATGTCACATGAACTTACCAACTGGCAATCCCAAGTCACTCAACATTGTACTCCCACCAAAACCAAACCACACTTAATAATAATAATATAATAATAATCCTTGCATTTAAACGATCTGAGATGCTACCCTGCGTGGAGGGCACTACATATGTGCAAGTTGTTGTTGTTGTTGTTGATAACATGGCTTCAAGGCACCTCAAAGTGCTTCACAGAATATCCTGTAAGATATAATGACTGTATATTTTGTGGTCAAAATGCGGCAGCCGGTTGCACACAGCAGTTTCCCAGAAAGTCGTGGATTGAGTGAGCATATTATTATTATTATTATTGTTAAGGGATTATTACCCCCGGAAAGTGATCTGCGAATCGACTAACAACTGTAGAATAATGCCTGACAAGGAGACAAATCCCTATCATCTTATCAGATAAAAAATGCGGCAGATAGAAACATAGAAAATCTGCAGCGGAGAAGGAGGAGATTTAGCTCATTGACTCTGCACCGGCTCACAGAGCAATGAGATCATTCATTCCCTCTGCCCCACCTTATCCCCATATTCATTCAAGCTCCTCTCTTTCATATGGACGCTAATAAGCTTTACACAGTTCCGTGTTTCCAAAGGTGGCGATTCAAAATTCTACACTGAAGCATGTTCACTGCAGGAACAGATGGTCAATTCAGTGAGACTGTCAGTTACTACTTTCATTTAATTAGAAGTACTCGGAGCAGGCCTGAAACTCCACCTATTCTTGGCCTGAAACATTTAAGATAATAATAATAATCCTTGCATTTGATATAGTGCCTTATCACGTCTTCGAGACATCTCAAAGCGCTTCAAGGAATATAGTGGAAAGTGAATGGACTGTGTATTTTGTGGGAGAAAGATCGTACAAAATTATGGAAAATCCTTAAAACTTGGGCTCATTTTGAAAGTCGGTGGAAATTCATTTTTCAAATTGAAAGTGAGATTTAAGACGTTTACACAAGTCTGTGAGATCTTGACTCTCAAGGCAAAATGATCTCAGCAATTTCAGGCCAATGCTATTTTATAAAACATGTTCAACTACCTTATTAGAGCAAGTTGTTAGAAAAACCGTACAGAATCTCGAGGCAGGTGGAGTGTTATAAAAGATGTTTTGATTGAATAATACTCCAATGCATCTCAGAGACTCGGCAAACTAGGATCATCAATTTTAATGAGTCTCCCAACAAATGTGTGAACTGTTTAGATAAATTCTCATACCAGACGTGCTATGTTACTAAATTTACTTTGCCATGTTTTTGACCAAGAATTCCACATATCTTGCAGCTGCTGCTCACAGTCCAATAAAATACCTAAAAATAGGTCATTGTATAGACTGAAGGAAAAGATTGCTATTTTTAACCGAATGATGTACGATAGACAAAATTGTATTTAATGGAAGCTCCCATATCATTCTGTAATCTTAGATATATCCTGTAACAGAAAAAACGCATTCACCATTCCATAAAGTTATTGCAAACAGAAAACCCTCTGTTTATTTGTCTTTAACACAAATTCTGTCTATAAAGCAACAGCTGCTACTTGGCAATAACTATCCATTGAGTGCATTGAGGCATTGTAAAGCTCTTTCCTTATCAATGGCCTTTTTTGAGACAAATTGATAATATAATAATAATATAATAATCCTTGCATTTGATACAGCACCTCATTATGTCGTTGAGATGTCTTAAAGGGTTTCACAGGATACAGTGTAAAGTGAATCGACTGTACATTTTTGTGGGCGAAACGTGGCAACCAATTGCGCACAGGAGCGTCCCACAAACAGTGGTGGATTGAGTGAACAAATTATTATTTTTTTGAAGGGATTATTAACCCCAGATCCACCAATCGACTAACAATAAATAATTAAGACAAATGTACAGCATTTCAATGTGCCCAATTCGGGAGGGGGCGGGTGGGGAAGGGGAAGATTTACCTGGAATATTCCTCATGAATTCCTGAAGGCAGTCAAGTAAGCTCCACTATAGGTTTGAGCCACCGCCCTTTAAGCAATGCAACTTGATTAAATAATCTCTACGATTGGACTACGATCCAGAATATAGGTTGCCAACATATTAATTCATAGCTGTAATATAGGATACGAGAGGTTTATATTAAAAAAAGTCAAATGCTTTCAATTGTAATGTGGTCAAAGCATTAGTTGAGGGGCATTCTCCTGAATGCAATTCCAATACAAAAAGCACTATCACTCAGGATCGACTGACTTGAGAATACTGCCATTGGATTGTACTGTCTTCTTTAACTGCATTCCTTCACAGTTCCCAATGTACCAATCAATATTGACATCGGTGGGTGTCACACTTGATATCTGTCCTCAGCAGCAATTCTGCCATTATTGTCCTTTTTTTTAATAAGAAAGCGTATTTAAAGACTTCTTCAAGTTGGGTGTCAGCTTGGCTCAGTTGGCAGCATTCTCAAGCTTTGAGTCAGAAGGATTTGAGCTCAGGCCCCGTGGTCGGGACTTGGAGCTCACAGTCTCGGCTGACATTCCAGGGCCAGGCTGGGGGGTAACACAGAAACAGAAGGAGGTTATTCAGCCCCTCGAGACTGTTCTGCCATTCTGTAAGTTCATGGCTGATCTGTACCTCAAGTCCAGTTAACCGTCCTTATCTCATATCCCTTGATACCCTGACCTAACACATATCTATCCACCTCAGTCTTGAAGATGTGAATGGATCAGCATCCACAGCCTTTTGGGGGAGAGAGTTCCAGATTTCCACAAGCCTTTGGGTGCAAAACTGCCTCCTGATTTCACTCCTAAATGGCCTGGCTCTAATTTTAAGATTATGTCCCCTTATTCTGGATTTTCCCACCAGAGGAAATAGTTTCTCTGTATCTTCCCTATCTAATCCCTTTATTATTTTAGAAACCTCAGTCAGATTAGCCCTCAACCTTCCAAACACTTTGTGAAATAAACTTGGTCACTTCACTTTGTGGCTGTTTGTGGGGCATTGCTGTGTGCAAATTGGCTGGTGTGTTTGTCTACAAAATACACTGAACTCTGCAGTCAATCCTATGAAATGTTGAGACATTTTGATGTGAAAAGCCGTATAAAATATAAGGATTATTATTATTATCATGAATTTGTCCTCATCAAAGTGAAGGGTGTCAGTTCTGGAAATGGGACCAACCCACTTCATAGCAAGTCGTAAAACGAAGATCTTAAAATTTTACGGCAAAGTAGTCTTACTGGTTCTGTGCTTATGTGGAAGCAAAGCTAGGAATTCAAACACGGGGGAGGAGGGAAAGAGAGAGATGTAATGAAATCTGTAACTTTATTAGTATGATTTCAGTAGTTTCGCCCACAAAATACAGTCACTCCACTTTACAGTATGAACTATATCCTGTGCAGCGCTTTGAGACGTCTCGACGACGTGATAAGGTGCTGTATCAATTGCAAGGATTATTAATAAGACAGGGCTCCTAAGCCTTCTGAGAAAACTTTTTAAAAAAAATGGTAATATATTGGCTACACAGCTGTAACTTATATAAATATTTTTCCGGTGTTATATACACAGGGTAGAAATGTTTGAAGATGTCTGACTCACTCACTCACTAGTTTCGTGGTGCTGTACAGACCGGGCGAAGAGGAGGGTTCTTGGGATTGGCATTGAAAGAGAATGGCAGGGAGTGAGGTGAAGGGACTGGGGGATGGAGTTCGAAAGGGTGGGGGCAGAAAGGCTGAAGGCTCAACCCGCCGATGGTGGAGCGGGCAGGGCGGGGAACATAGAGCAGGCCAGTGTCCGCTGAGCGGAGGGAGTGGACAGGTCGGTATGGATACACTGGGGTCGGGATTCCTTTCTGTTCTTATCTCCCGAGGTGCTGATGATCCTTATCAAAAACAACAACTTGCACTTATATAGCTACCTTCACGTGGGGTAGCATTTCGCAGCTCTATCATCTCTGTGAGTCGCTTCGATACATCAATCCTCGTGAAAGGGGGATATGTAAATCGGATTTGGTTGAGAATAGGATATTTTGGACAAATCCAGCAATAGCAAAAAAAATCTCATTTTAAGCAGAACAGTGGGCCCGAAATTCCACGTAATCTTAGACGCTAAGACCATTTGATTTAAAATCTTAAGATAATGCAAAATTATGGAAAATTCTTAAACTGAGTCTTAATTTGGAAGCCGTTAATTTTTAAGGACTGCGGAAACCCGTTTCAAATTGATAAATGAATTCAACAATGTTTCACAATCTGACGTGATCTCAAGTGGTCTTACAGGCTAAGACTAGGTGGAATTTCAGGCCAAAAGTGATTCTTCTACATTTACTCCACAAGCCTCTGCTTGCCTAATAGTAAGCAGGGTCCCAGTTGTTAGTCGATTGGTGGATTGCTTTCCGGGGTTAATAAATTTAGTCACTCAATCCACAACTGCTTGCCAATTGGCTGCCGCATTTCACCCGCAAAATACACAGTTCAGTCACTTTACAAAATATTCTGTGAAGCACTTTGAGACGTCTCAATGACGTGATAAGGCTATATCAAATGCAAGGATTACTATTATTACTTGGACTGAATTTATTTAAGGGATGCCAAGTGTGTTACACGTGCAACTTTAAAGTAACTAAAGTAAGTAAGTCATCTCGTTAGCGGGATTCTGTGTCTTCAGATCATTCAACTGAAATCACCAGCCTGATCTCCCACTCTGTCGTGTTTAAACTTAGATTTAGACTCTAATCATCTGTGCATCTTGGGTGGACATGGCAAGAATTTGGACAAAGTCTGACAAACAGCCATGTAGTGAACATCTTTTTTGATTACTGGCCAGGATACTGGGAGAAACTCTGATTCCTTTTTCCAAAATGTTGCCACGAGAGCTAACATCCGCCTGTACAGTAGTTCAGTTTACTGTACCTGGGTTGGCATCTCTGACAATGCAATCCTTTCTCTTTTCCCGCACCCCCCCTCCCTCCCTCATCACAATGGAGTGCCCATCAACATGAATGCCCTTTTTCAATGAAGCTGTCATATCAGTCTTGTAACTTGTTCATTTTAGTAATGATAGGAACCGGATGAACCTCACAAAATGTGTTTTTATATCAAAATGTGCATCTGCTCGTTCTGTAATTCTGAAATCAGTACCAATTTGCACAAACTGACCAGTTGTCTTATTCCACTGACTGAATAGAGGAGAGTAATTGAACATTCTGGGATTTACTGATTGGAGGCCAAATTGTCCAGGGAAAACAGTAGTTTGTTCAGTAACTTCATGAAACATTGATGATACTTTCTACATGTAAACTGAACTAACGCTTCGCAAGCCAATCTGAAATGTAATGAACTCTTTTATTGGTGCCAATTTTAATAAATAAAGCTAAAAGAACACATCCTTGTCAAAGTTTAATTGCCATAGAAAAAGGATTGCATTATTTTGCCATGTTGTTTATTTAAATTCCTGATAATCAAGGTAGCTCTCTAATTAATACCTGAAGATTCACGTACCCAAGATACTAATTGAGCCAGGTTAGTTTGCCTCAAAAGATTGTAAGGTCAAGTTCCACGTCAGGTCTTTGAGCTCATGATGTAGGCTGGAAAGTCCACTGTAGTGCGGAGGGAACACTGCTTGCTGGAGGTCCTGTCCTTCGGATGAGACGTCCCACTAAGGTCCCATCTAGCGGTTCAGATGGACGTTAAAAGATCCAATTGCACTATTCGAAAAGGGAAGAGGTTTTCTCTCAGTGTCTTCCAACAGCCCCCACCCCCCCCCAGATAAAATAAGTCGTTCACTTCACCTCCCACAGAAGTTATTGGAAAATAATTGTGTATTTTGCCGCAGTCAATCTAGACACAGCAATGTCCCACAAGCAGCCATGGCACAAATGACCAATTTTATCTGGAGGATTGTTGGCCTGGGCGCCGGGAAAAATTCTCCTGGTGAATAGTACCACAGAATCTTCAACATACACCTGAACAGGCAGAGGGGATCTCGATTTAACGACTCACCCGAAGGATGGCACTGGCATGTCAGCCTAGACTGTCTACCATTACAGCATCGAGGTGTGGTTTAAATTAGTCTGAGTTACATGTTCTGGCATCAATCGCCCTTCGAGGCAATCTTTTCCCGTCATTACTTACTCCCCTACAAAATACACAGTCAATTCCCTTTACAGTATATTCTCGAAGACATGATAAGGCGCTGCATCAAATGCAAGGATTATTATTATTTACTCTCTCACCACCAGTACCACCAGAAAATACCCTCCTGTTCTTCTAAGAGCCATACAAATTTCTGGTCATTTTGTCTGTTTGATATCTCTTTGTAATTTCAGGCTACGGTCACATCTACCCGATAACCACGGCGGGGAAGATAGTCTGTATGTTCTACGCCATGTTTGGGATCCCTGTCATGCTGCTGGTCATCACGGACGTTGGCGACATGTTGGCCGCTCTGCTCTCCAGAGCGTACAACAAAATCAGAAAGCTGCTGTTGAAGAACGCAGTCACTCCGCCACCGTCAGCCACGCCCTCAAGGTGGTCATCCTTCAAACAGAGCCTGACCTCCCAGCGGTCCACCTCCTCGTTCAAGAAGGGCCCACACGTCATCCTGACCCCCATGGGCCCCGTTAACATCACCAAAGTACTCAACACCCAGTCCTCTGTGAAGAGTAAATCCGAGCGCTTGCGGCACACAGAGATATTCGAGAAGATAATCATGAAGGAGAACTTCAACTCCGAAGTTTTCCGGGAAAACAGGCGGGACAGGAGCAAGTCGTGTCCGCAACTGGATGTAAAGTCACTGGAAGACAACAGCGGGTTTCAAAGCCTGGGGTGCGAGCTGGAGAAGCTTGACGTGCCCATCATCCTGATCTTGGTCATCGTTATCACATACATTCTCTTTAGCGCTGCGATGCTCTCTATTTGGGAGAATTGGGACTATCTGGATTCCTTCTACTTCTACTTCATCACCATCACCACCATCGGCTTTGGAGACTTTGTCCCCGAGCATCCTAACTTCTTCATGATAACGTCAGTGTTAATCATCACGGGCATGACAATCATGTCCATGGCTTTCAAACTGGCTCAGAACAGGATAGTTCACTGCTACAAGGAAGCCATGAAATGGATCCACAGCAGCAAACGAATTAAGTACAAAGTCATCTAAGGTTTTCAGGCAATTTCATTCAGAAAATCATTCAGTGAAGAGTTTTGCAATGTTAAAAAAAATGCAAGAGCGATGTTACATAATGATCTCCTAATGCTACTGCACTCACGATTGGATCTTACTCAGAATTTGCATCAAAGGTGGCCGTTTTTAGCATAGCAATTCCAGGGAGAGTGCGCACTCCATTCCAGATGCAGGAAGATTTCCGTGCATAGGCGGCAAAGATACGTGGAAGTCTTGGTCTGTTTTGGATGCTCTTAAGCATGATGTTGGGCTTCCGCATGTGTCAGACCAAAAAAAAAATTGCTTGAGAATGTCAGTACTTCATATATTAAACCACTCAAGTATCCAGATTGAGTTGAATTAAGCTATTTAGCATTAATGTACTTTACCAACATAGCTTTGGCGGCAAACTTAATCTCTTACCAACGTGTTCATGTCACACCTTTACGCAGAGATACTGTAAACATCTGTGGCTGGATTCGGATCCTGCATTTTACTGACTTGTCATCGAAAATTTGATCTTTTTTGTAAGTGAAAATTAATAATCTTTAGTCGTGAGGCATATTATGATGCTAATACTGTACATAAGGTCACACAATCAGTAGATTATTATAGGGACCAATAATTTTGTTTTGTCTTATGTTGCACAATAAAATCAACTTTCAAAACACCGGAGACGTTATGTGGTGTGCCAACAGTATCCTGTCTGATCAGCAGGGCAAGGGTTTATAAACGATAAAATTGGCACCTTTTATTATGGTGGGGGAGATGGGGAGGTGGGGGCAGGGGGTAAATTATTTACCAAACATTTCCACCGGATTTGTGCCAGGTTATTGTACAAAAAAAGGTTCCAACTTTAATGTCGGGCAGACCAATGCTTATAAATAAAAACCCCACGCCATAAGAGTCAAATAACTCCCGAAAGCGAACACTGTTTTTTATACACAGTTGGATTGTTACGTATAGTCATTGTGGTATAAACACACGGCACAGACTGGTTGGGCCAAATGACCTGCTTCTGCGCTGTACAGTCTGTGTAAATCTATAGGTGCGGTACAAGAGGTAGGTTTTTAAGGTGTAAGAGCTTCCAATTTATAATGGCACAGGAGGTTGACAATGTCTTTTTGATGCGTGTGTTAATTGTCACCAGCGTGAGGAAAACATCCAACTCAGTCGTGTTTTGTGGGCGAATCAGCTGTGGTTTTGTAGCGACCAGACAATAGCATAATTAAATGTTGTTGTAGATCATGAAATAAGATGGGCTTAGAACTGGATTCCAGTAGTTCACATTCAGCAAACACCTGCAACAGAATATCCAGTCTAGGGGTTGGCGGAAGGAGGAGAGATGTCTCAAGTTCTGAATTTATTGAAAATATACATTCATTTGCACCAGGTGGCAGTAAAGAGTAAATTAAATCTGCCAGAAAAAGAATTTATATAAGCACTTATAATAATCACAACCTGCATTTATACAGTGCCCTTCACGCGAGATAGCGTCTCAGAGTTGGACAATGGTTCAAAGAGGTAAGTTTTCAAGTGGGATTTAAAGAAAGATAAATGATCCTTACGTTGGATACAACAAAATTACATTTGTATAGCGACTTTCACGTCGGGAAGACATCCCAGTGCTGGATATAACGTCTTAGTGCGCCGTTGAGACGTTTCAAAGCGCATCACAGGATTTTTACTGTGTAATGCAGTGACTGTGTATTTGTATGCAAAGCCAGTTTCATGGGAAAATGTTTAAAGTGCTTCACAATCATAAAAAATAAGGGCACTTTTTTTTATTGTGTCCCAGATTCGACAGAACTATACAAGTGTGTTTCAAGGTTAGCATAATAACAATTAAAAGTTCCTTCTATGTCAGGTGAGGTTCTCCTTATTTCTGAGATGATTTGCTCTCGGTTTCTCATCAGCAAGGTAAAATTGGGAACAAAGTAATGAGGGGAGAAAGGGGAGTGATAGAAATATACAGACACAAGAGAAAAACTAATGAGTGAAGTAATAGAGAAACCGACACAGATTGTCAGGAATTTACCAAATTCTCATCAGTGTGACACACACAAATTTGGCACATAATTCCTAGTCTTGACACTGCTCAAGCTAAATCAAATCCTATTCTGCCTTTAGCAAGCATTATTCACATAGTTGGTTTGACGAAAAAAACTAATGCTATGTTCGCTCCAGTACAAGAGATAGATCAAGCAGAGAGCACAAAAAATCAATGCTTGTCATGATTTCCCACCCCAGGGAATATCAATTTGACCCACACCCACACTATATGTATATATTTTTGGCTAACCTGGAATTTGACACATGCAGAAACGCCTTGCCATGTGTAACCGTCTCCGATTCCAGCTGTTGAGAACTCACAGAAGCAGAGTAATCCGTTTGCCTTTTCTGAAGTGCATAAGCCCAGGAAACGCAGCTGTGTGTGGGTTGGGCCAGGATCCCTCTTCATCCGTTTAGGTTACCGCTGAAATTCGCTCGCCTTCAAAATAGAAAGTCACTACACTTTTCGGCATGTGCATCCTGTGAAGCACTCCCAGACCCCGTATGGCGCGAAGGGCACTATATGAATGCAAGTTGTTGTGAAACGCTTCGAGATGTCTTCCTGATGTGAAAGGCGCTACAACAAATGCAAGAATCATTATTATGAATTAAACTCGATAAGGCAAGATCAATTGCGTGACAGGGTCAATCGTCAATCGCAGATTATTATTATTCTTCCCGGCCCATTTCTAGTTCTGCGAAAATAATCCCCAGCGTGAATATAGTAAAAATACAGCAATTGGGATCATGAAAAACCTGGGTTACGCAGCATTAAGCGGAGTGGAGAGGAACACAGTCATCAAATGTTTGTCCCTAATGGGAAAGAAATCACAGTGAATGAAGAATGAGGAGAGGATGGAGATTCCCATGCTAAATTCAATGCCTCTAAACACATCCAGATCATCCAATTGTTCCATTGTCTGCTGTTTTTTTGCCTTCACATCAAAGTAATCCACTGTCACGTGTAGCAAGAGAATTCCATCCAGTTTCCTTGGAAACTTCTCGAATTGTATTGGGTTATATACCAACTGAATGGACCTCTGGTTCAGCCCCACCTCGGGACTTTGAACTGACACCCCCAGTGCAGTGGGTGTGCTGCATTGCTGGAGGTGCTGTCCTTCGGATGAGATGTCAAGCTGCGGTTTCATCCACGCCTGTTCAGATGGACGTTGAAAATCCCACGGCACTACTCGAAAAGAGAAGGCAGTTTCTCACTCCCTGTGTCCTGCCTGGCCAACAATCCCCGAAATAAAAATTTGGTCATTCACTTCACGGCTGCTTGTGGGACACACCGCTGTTGCGCGAGCTGTCTGCCGCGTTTGCCAACAAACACACAGGCACTACACTTTCCAGTAAAATCCTGTGAAGCGATTTAAGACGCCTGGGCGATGTGACGAGGCACCGTATGAAATGCAAGGACTGTTATATGTGAAAATGCAAATAGTACAAAGCTTGTGAGCAGTAAATGCACCTGAAAGGAAATCTCTCCTCTTAATCAGATAGCTGCAAGACAAAATGGAATAGGTTTTATTCCCTGTCAGCGGTAAGAGGAGAATTCTTTTTAAAGAATCGAAAACAATGACCAAAAGAGAATTGATTCATAAATAATATGAATGGTGTTGTTCGTAGCCTGGTAACTAAATGTATAAATAACCCATTATATTCAAGTACAGGAAGCACATTTCTTTGATAAAGGTTTTTGCACGAGGATATGTGATATAAAGTTACATTTGAACACAGGCTGCATCCATTTATGAATGATAGTCTGATACGAACTTGTCTTTATCAATCAATATGTCGGACAGTAAACATAATAAATTATCCTCACATTTAATATAGGAAGGCGTCTCAAAGAGCTTCTCAGGCCTAAAATGTAATGACTCTTTTTGTAGGCGAACGCAGTAGCCAATTTGCACAGACCAATGTCTCACACACAGCCATGGAGTGAATGATCAATTTTATTTTGGGGGGACTGTTAATATTAATTAATAATAATCCTTGCATTTTATATAGCGCTTTTCACGTCCTCAAAATGTCTCAAAGAGCTTCACAGAATAGACTGTAAAGTGAATTGATGGTATATTTTGTGGGCGAAACGCAGCAGCCGATTGCTCACAGCAGTGTCCCACAAACAGTCGTGGATTGAAGTGACCAATTTATTATTGTTTTATTTTATTGAGGGAATATTATCCCTGACTTTTGTCCAGGACACTGGGAAAAGCTCCCTTCTCTTTTCGAATAGTGCCATGGGATCTTTGACGTCCACCTGAATAGGCAGACAGGACTTCAGTTTAATATCTCGTCCGAAAGGCAGCAGCTGACATTGCAGCACATCCCCAGGATTGCACTGGAGTGTTAGCCTGGACTATACAAGTTCAAAGTCCCAACACAGGGCTTGATCCCACTACCTTCTGACTCAGAGGTGAGAGTGCTACCGACTGAGCTGGGTTGGCAGACTGACAGCTATTTCCCTCGGCAACGCGAGTGCTTTCATTTATACACCTCACATTACTTAAACATTAAACTGCATAAGTAGCTCATTTGCAGCCCGCGATGCCATTTAGGAGGTTGCCTGTTACTGCATAAGATCTTCTAAATAACTTACTATTGGAATTGTCCTGGGACTGAACATCATATAACAATCGTTCCATGTGCATTGCAAGCCCCTTTAATGTCAAAAAGTCCCAAAGCTCTTTATAGTAAATACATTATCAAGCGTAATCAGTAATGGAGCCATAACTGTGCCATTAAAGAAAGGTCCATTTCAGATAAGCTCTGGTGAACGTCCACTTATTAAGTTACCCACTCAATCTCCGGTGCTTGTCAGAGGCTCAGAGCTCATTCACAAGCGGAAGGCCAGAAACAGAAATAAAGTGGTTGAAGTACATCATGGCAAGTTGTTACTTGAATGAATGATTTCAAATAAGATTGTTCTATGAGTTTCTAAACACAGAGCGAAAACTAGTGGATTTTAGTGGGTCATTGCTGTTATGCAGATCAAAGTTACTGTAATACTTTCACACACAGACCTGCTTCCAATTCCTAGGATTACTGTGTTCTAATGACAAGGCTGGCAGGTCATTTTGCCTGAATGACCACAAAGTACAATGACGGAATGGCACATGTCCATCACCCATCATGTTGGCCATTAAGAATGTCACGAGTGTTAGGAATTGACATGACAACAGTGTGTGCTCGAGCCAAGGTTTCGGCTTCCGATTACTGTCCAGAAAGGGCCAGCTGGAAGGTACGTGTGGGCGGACATCAGGTGAATATCGTATCAAGCTCAATACTCCCACTCACCTTCCCTCCCTCTCTCCTCCTCACCCAACCACCCACACGATCAAAATCGGCAGCCAACACTCTCTGTCAAAGCTCGCACAGGAATAATGAATATTTGAGCAAAGTATTGGAGGGTGACCAGGGCTCATGGAACCACCCCCAAGCAAAGAGGAGTCAAACACCTTTGGAGAAGAGAAATTTGAAGGAAAATAAAACCGCAAACTCCCTTGAAGAAAGATATAGGAGCGTCAAAACTGATCTTATCACATACTGCAATTTGACCCTTTTCATCTCTAAAGCAATGAACATTACATTTGCAGTTAGTTCCTTCACTTTTACCTGTTTTTAAACATGCAGGCACTGGCCTGCTCCATGTCCCCCGCCCTGCTTGCTCCACTATCAGCGGTCAGACCTTCAGCCTCTCTGCTCCCACCCTCTGGAACTCCATCCCACAGTCCCTCCGCCTCGCTCCCTCCCTTGCCTCCTTCATGGCCCATCTCAAGACCTTCCTTTTTGACCATGCCTTTGATCACCTTCCGTCCTCCACCCCTCTCTGATCCTAATTCACAGCTCGGGTGAAAACCCCTCATTGACCAGAGCCTTGGAATGTCCTCCCAACGTGAAAGGTGCAATACAAGCGTAATTTTGAGGTTGTTGTTATTCAGCACAGTCTTAACAACAACAACAACAACAAAATTACATTTGCATTGCACCTTTCACGTTGGGAGAATGTCCCAAGGTCCTGGAATTCACCTTAAATTTTAAGGTGAAGTTTATGAGGAATTTGGGACCTCAAAACCCTGCCTCCATTAAAGCTAAATGTGACGGGATAAGAGAGAGATAGAAACATAGTCCTGTTTCTTAAAAAAATTGTAATTGATCCGTACGAGTTTCGACCCAGTGCTCTCTTCCCTTTACTGTCTATTACATTGAGGGGCGAGGGAGCAGAAGGGAGTTTAATCAAACTCAATTGTTTAAAAAAATTAATATTTTCATTGCATGTTTCGAATGGATTTTTACAAATTGTTTTAAATGAAGTATGTTTGAGAGATAACAAGATTAAAGGAAGGTTAAAGGAAGAGAAGATGATTGAAACTGATAGGAAACTAAGAGATTTATTTCACTTCAACTTGGAAACGATCGGTTAGTGGCACAGAAATGATTCGAAGTGTTTCTGTTGAAAAGTAATTCCAAATGATATGCTGCTCAGATACTTCTGTTTCACATTTTGCCCAGAATTAGGCCATTCTCACTTTCCCGAGGAAGTAGGATGCAAATAACCAAAAGAGCCACCAGAGGACAGCCTTGCACAAACGTCCAGATTTTGAAGGACCAATGTAATAACAGCACAAAACAAATCTAGATTTATATATATATATATCGTTCATGTCGGGAGGACGTTGCAAAGCACTTAACAGCACCAGTTTAGTGACCGAGTATCTTGTAGGCAAACTTGGCAGCCAACCCATGCACAACAATGTCCGAAAGACAGCCATGAAGCAAATTACCAGTCTTATTTGGATGATTGTTCTGCCAGGACACCCGGGAGAGAGAAACTCCCTTCTCTTTTCAAAGAATGCCATTAGATGTTTAACAGCCATCTGAACAGGCAGACTGGTCCTCGTTTTTTTGTCTCATCCAAAGGACTGCACCTCTGACAATGCAACACATCCCCAGCACTGCAATTGGAGTGTCAGCCCAGGCTGTGTGTGTTCAAAATCCTGATGTGGGGCTTGAACCCATAACCTCTATTCTCAGAGGTGAGCGCACTAACAACTGAGCCAGAGTGACGTATACATTGAATACAACTGGCATTTTATAGCCCGTCAATTCAATCGGGAGAGAAGAAAAATACACGCATGTTGACAAGCAAACAAAGTCACTACTGCTGTTACAGAATAAGATCTGGAGTGAAATACTGTATATTAGGAAATGGAAAAGAGACTGATCAAATGTTATGCAGTTTCATCCACAGATTGACTCACTTGCCTTTAAACTTGTATCAATTGGAAAGTGCTTTTTTTTAAATATAAGCAATAAATAATCCTTGGATTTGACAGAGCGCCTTATTGTGTCGTTGATAAAGTGTAGTGAGCCTACAGTTTGTAAGCAAATGAGGCAGCCAATTTGCGTAACAGCAATATCACACAGGCAGCCATGAAGTGAAGGACACAATTTTTAACTGGGGTGGGTGGGGTGGGGGGTGGTGGTGGTGGTGGTTGTTAGCCAGGGCACCGAGAGAGACAAACTCCCTTCTCTTTTCGAATAGCGCCGTGGGATCTTCCGGTCATTTTTTTGTGGAATTATTGCTGTGGCCAAATTGCTGTTGCGTCCGCCTGCAAAACACACTACACTTTACAGTTAAATCCTCAGCAGCAAATTGAAACATCCTGCTGATGTGAAAGAATGATTCTTAACGTTTAAAGCGTGGGAGCACGGGGACAGGGCTGGGGTGGGGGGAGGTTGGGGAGGGGAGTTGAAGAGGGTGGGTGGTTGGGATGGGCGATGGGGTGGGGGTGGGGGTTGAAGATGAACGAAAAAGCAATCGAAGAGGCTAGTCTTAAGGTGGTCTTTGAGAAGGGAGGGAGGAAGCGACGGTTTGTGTGTGTGTACGTTGGGGGGGGGGGTAACGAAAAAATTTTCAGCAAGCCTGTGATTCCAACCCACACAGCCGCACTAACACACAGCCAACCAACCGTTCAACACCTGAACAAGCAGAGAGCTACGTCAACATGCAAGAAAGCATCTTGAAATGTTAAGATCCACAACGTCACCGAGGAAACTAAGTCACTAGGACCTGCCCATGGACTGTCTGTCTGACTGGATGGGTCTCTCTCGCAGTTTGAGATAAAGGCAAAGAGAGAAGCCACTTTCCAAACGCCAGCCTGTGCATTGAAAGTTCAGAGGTGAGTTTGGTTGGCTGTGAGTCAATACTTGCATCTGGTCTGGTAATGTACAGTACAGTGAGAGGTTAATAGTTTTAACCCCCACCACCAACCACCAACCACCACCCACCCACGCAAACCGATTTAAACCCACTTTGGTTAAATGGCAATGGGGAGATGATAGGAAATAGACAAGTGTTATATGCAGCAGATATACAGTAAGTTAAGTGAGGTGTGGAGACTTGGAAGCTTTGCAAATCACTAGACTTAAGCTTTTCACACACACACACACACACAAAACCAACCCACCCACCAAGTGGCTACAAGTGCTGGTTGCATTTTGTCTTTGCATCCTGTCTTTGCATCTCTCTCTTTGCATTTTGCCTTTGCAATAAGCAGGAACATCTCTGGCTGGAGGAAAGAAGGAGCTGGTGGAGCACTGAAGGATGGGAGCATTGGAGAGATTAAGGGAGTTCAGCTTTCTGCGTTGGCTGAGGGAAGGGCGACAGTCTCGCAAGCTGATCCTGGTGATAGTGTTCATAGCTTTGCTGCTGGACAACATGTTGCTGACTGTGGTGGGTAAGTGCAACCTCGACCCTCTCCCTCCCTACCTGCAGCTTGAAGGGGTTTCAAGGTGATGAGGAATCAGACAGAGAGTCAGAGTAAGAGAGAGAGAGACTGTGTGTGTGTGTGGGGGTGAGACAGAGACACAGAGAGAGAGAGAGAGGACAGAGTCATTCACTGAAAGATTCATTTGCAGTGTTTTTCACTAGTTTTATTTATATTCAGAAGGAAGGAGAGGAAGAGAGAGGGGGAGAGTGTGTGTGTGTGTGTGTGTGTGTGAAAGAGAGGTAGAAGAAAAGAGATGGGGTGGGAGAGAGAGTTAGAGATTAAGAGAGGGGGAGAGGGGGACAGAGGAATTCACTGAAAGATTCATTTGCAATATTGTTTTCCACTTTTTTTAATTTATATTCAGAGGGAGAGACACAGAGAGACAGAAAGAGAAAGAGAGGGGGTCAAAATAATTCACTGAAAGATTCAATGGCACTATTTTTCATCGTTAAATATGTATTTCTATTCAGAGGGAGAGAGGAGGGCAGTCACATTGGCTCTTATTGTTATTTAGTAGTAATAGTATTATTATTGTAAATAAACCCCATCTTAAAAAATCAACGCGAAAAATGTACTAGACCCACATTTTGAATTGAAAGAAGTTGTAATAATAATCATTATTTGCTTAGAAAAGTACTCGAGTGCAAATGGGTTGTTAATATTAATAAGTTAGGGCACCCAAGGAGCAACATAGGTTTCTTTTTTGTTAGACAAATTGGAGAGGGTTTACAGTGGAGCCAGACAGAGGCGACCCACTGTGTCTGAAGGGAATGGTGTGAATTGTATAATAATAATAATAATCCTTGAATTTGATATAGCTTTTCACATCTTCGAGACGTCTCAAAGCCCTTCACAGGATATACTGTAAAGTGAATTGTATATTTTGTGGGCGAAACGCAGCAGCCAATTACACACAGCAGTTTCCCACAAACAGTCGTGGATTGAGTGACCAAATTATTATTGTCTTTATTCTTGAGGGATTATTACCAGGGGTATGTGTGGAGTAAGGAAACTTGCCCAAGGTTTTGCCCTGCCGGGAATCAAAACCAAGTCTCTCGCTTGTGAGGCAAGTGCTCTAACCACTGAGCTACATCCCATTTTCCTCGAGATTAGCTGTGATTAGCTGCTCTACTCTCCCTTCTCTGATATAACCCCCAAAACCTCTGGTGCTTTACACCTATCTGGTCACAGACGTGTATATATACTGTGCACTTGGTTGGCATTGTATCACAGGCTATAGTTTAGGCAAGCTGGGGTGTTAAATAAGAGCCCAATCACCCATAACCTACCTTCAAGGTTGTTCATTTGCAACCCCAACAGTTTTGTAGTTTGCAAATCGCTCCAACATTGGGGGGATCTTCACTTGCCGGGGGGTACAATACACAGGTAGCGAACAGTATTTTGTCTCAAGGCAAAATTTGTTACTGACAGAAGACAAATACCAAACCAGCCCCTCTAGGGATTGGGAATAGTGTACCAAATTGGACATTGACTCGGACACCCTGAGTGATGGGTTTAGTGTTAGGAAAACATGTAATCCTTGGGACCCTTACTCCATCCAATTAATAGAGGTGACTGTTTAGGATTGTAAAAGCTGTAAATCTTGGTTTTAGGATTATACAGTAAATCTTGCATAACTCTGATCTGTCGAAATCATATGATCGCACGAGTCGTACATTTGCTCAAGTCCTGTTGAATTTCCTGTTATTTATAAGTTTCTCATAAGTCATATCTTGCATGATATAATAATAATAATCCTTGCATTTAATATAGCGCCTTATCACGTCTACAAGACGTCTCAAAGTGCATCACAGAATATACTGTATAAATAATAATAATAATAATAATCCTTGCATTTGATATAGCGCTTTTCACGTCGGGTATTATAAAGTGTAGTTAGTGACTGTGTATTTTGTTGGCAAAATGCGGCAGCTAATTACAGTACAGTTTGTGGGACAAACAGTTGTGGATTGTTAATTTCATAAATCATATTCAAAGTGCGGTCCCAACTGATAGGATTTATGTGAGGTTTACTGTACAAACACTCTTGAGGATTTCGGTTATACAGTCTTGTGGCATAGGATTCTAGAGAGAGGTTGCTTTAGGAATATGGAAAGTGTAAACTTTGCTAAGAGTTTGTAAATACTGTACTAGGCTTGCTTTAGGTTTGATAGAAAATGTAACCTTGTTTGTGGGATAACAGTAACTATAAACCTGAGTTTATAAACTTGATTTTAGGATTGTTTTCACCCACAAAATATACGGTCAATTCACTTTACAGTATATTCTGTGAAGCGCTTTGCGAGGTCTCGAAGACGTGATAAGGCGCTATATGAAATCCAAGGATTATTATTATTGCCTTCGAAACCATATTCCAACTAAGCTAAAAATTTTCATTTCTTCAACAACAATAATTTACACCCATCCCGCAGGGTAGCGTACCAGAGCGCATTCTAATATTATAGACCAACCCATTTGAATGGCCCATTGTTGAGATAGGAGCAAAAAGAGGAAGAAAGAGAGAGAGAGAGAGCAGGGAGGTGCGGGAGGTGGGGAAAATATTTGCACAGCTCAGTGAAAATATGAGGATCGGTGCATTTTTTAATTGCCTTTGTGTATCAGGTGGAGGAGGATAATACTGATTATCCCCCACCACCACAAGCTTGGGATATTGTGAGTGGATGAAATTCATGCCTGGATAATGTTTGCATGGTGTGTGGCTTGGTGGAAGGGACACGAAATTTGCAATGAATGTGGGCTTCTGACGTGAGCTATCGGAGTCAAATTCCACCTGGCTTTAGATTTGCCCTGCGTCAGTGCACCCACGAATTGGCAAATTGCTGAATTCAGTCCTCAGCTTTGAATTCAGTTTCCTAAAATAGTACATCAAATAACTTACGGCTTCAACATTCAGTCTGGTAATAATTTGCCCAGTTTTGGATGCTGTAAAATGCCACATAAATAGAGTAAATCTATCCGCAGGTGGAATTTCTCCTCAGCATATGCTTTGCAAATTATTGTGTCCCAGTGCCTTGGGATTTCCTCCCGATGTGAAAGACACTATATGAATACAATTTGTTGTTAATGAAAATAGCTGTTTGATGAGCTATATAGATGCAGCCCCATATCCAATACACACTCATTACTCCAACACTAGCTGAGAATACAAGATAGGGTGTGGTAGTTAAATAATAGGCGAACACAGAAACTTGCTGTAAGCACTGTGATCAGTTTGCCTGACTTGTGTTATTCAGCTCATTGATTCCTAGAACGCCATCAATCTAACCAAAGCCAAGAAGTCGACCCGTTTTCATTGATGAATTTCCTTTGAGGACGTTTTATTGGAATAAGCCCCAGAACTCCATTGTTTTTGACGTAGCTCACATATGCTGCGAAAAAACAAGTTCTTTGTAAATATAGTGCATGACTGGTGAACAATTGGAGCTAATTAATAAACAGCATTTACTGTTGCAATACGACCATGTCATGGAGACCCTAAAGCCAACCGATCGAAGCTCGCTCTCTATGTTTTGAACCGATAGTTGGGCAGGTACCACTGCCAGGTACCATAGACATGTACAGAGGAACTCGATGCTCTCTGATGCAGTACGTAACTGCCCCCACACTCTGGACTCTATCCCGCAATACCTCCGCCTCACCCCCTCTTTCGCCTCTTTCAAGTCCTGTTTAAAGACCTTCCTCTTTGACCGTGCCTTTTTTTTTTGGTCAGCCGGCTGTTTGACACCTGCGAATGTGTACACTTGTCATTAATGATGATCAGTGTATACTGTCAGTCCAGCACTGATCGGCTGTGGTCGATGACAGTAACAGTAACCAACCATGTATCCCACCTACACATGGAAATCCCAGAGATAGATTGTTGGGATGGAATGCGCTCTCTCTCTCTTCTGGAGGAATGCAACCTGCTTTTCCTGAGAGTATTAGGCGCAGGTTGACAAGAACCAACGCTTGGGGACACCAGGGTGTGCATATGTGCGTTGTACAATCCTTCCCTTAATGCCGATGATAAGTGTTTTCTGTCAGTCCAGCACTTATCGGCTGTGATCGATGACAGTAACAGCAGCATTTAAAGGTTTCAACCCGTTTTAGTTGAGGTTCAATTGGCGAAGCTATGTTTTATGCAAACGGGTTGCGCTTATCTGCTTTTAGACTATCATGGGTTGACAGTCTAAAATGTATTTTAAATACATTTGTAAAATGTAAAATGATTTAAGGAAATCCCGATCTGATGAATTTTACTGTCAAATTGTGTACTTAAGCTGGTTGATAATGCAGCAGGATTGAACCAATGCTGTGTAGACACGGCTTGACTCATACGATCGTGCAGTGCTTTTGGGGACATGTACTTACAATGGTCCAGCCATCAGTAAGCAGTCAGTTGATCACGTGTCTTTCGGTGATGGATCAGTGTAATTAAAAATACAATTACTGTGTTTGTCTTTGCAGTGCCCATCATTCCAAGTTACTTACACACAGATGAATATGGACCACCTACACAGAATCCAACCCAAAATTCGCTCTCCACGGCCAGGTTTCAACACATATTTTCCTACTACGATAACTCGACGATGGTGACCGGGAGTGAACCGGCCACGACAACAGGTGAAGCGATCGGTTACAATGCCACGCACCCCCCGGTGGTCAATGACACAGGGCCCGGCGAATCCAATGGGAGTTGTATGGCAAAGGACGCGAGCTTGCTGAATGAAAACATTCCCGTTGGATTACTGTTCGCTTCGAAGGCAACTGTGCAGCTGTTAACAAACCCATTCATAGGGCCACTGACCAACAGGTGAGTAAGTCCTCTGCCTCCAGAATGCACAGTCACAACACTTTGCAGTATAATCCTATGACATGCTATGAGATGTCTCGACGACGTGTTAAGATGCATGTCAAACGTAAGGATTACTATTATTAACAATAATTTATTATTAATAATAATAATTAATAATAATAGTTTCGCCCACAAAATATAGTCAGTTCGCTTTACTGTGAAGCACTTTGCGATGTCTCGAAGATGTGATAAACTATATCAAATGCAAGGATTATCACTATATTATTAATTAGCAATGAGGCTCAAGGCATTAATGCAGGAACCAACAAAGAATAGCTGCCAACCAGTTTGGGTTCTGAGCGGTGTAGGGTATGTTAAAGGATTTCTCGGTTCAGAGAAAGCTCTAATACTCAGGGAATGACCGTCCATATGTAAATATTCCATCTGAGTAATACAATGCAGAAGATAAACAATCTGAACACACACATTCACTCTGCTAATCGCTTGGGAGATTGGATACAGTTGGCTGCGTGTGTAGCTATCCTCTGCTGACTCCTGACACTGCTCATAAGGTTCTACGCAATGTTTAACCTACATAGGTGCAGATAGTAAGGTGTAGAGCTATTGTAAACCCTGAGGTCTCCACAGCAGGTCCTCCGTACTGGGGAAGCTTTTCTTGCCTGTAGATTGTAGCAAAATAAAATCAACAGAACAAATTAAAAACGGATTAAAAATATCCTCATCAAAGGAACTGTGGCTCAGAAATATTTGCAATATCCATACATGTAAAGCTGGGAATCCTCACAATCAATACAAAATGACATTTGTATCGCACCTTTCGCGTTGGGAGGACGTCCCAAGGTACTGGACAGTCAGGGCTTTGGACCCACACATATACAACTAAGAATTTATCCACACCCAGATCAGAATACCCCACACATACACAGCCGAGGATACCCCAACACATACACAAATAAAAATACCCATATAAATAATAGATAATGCCCACACAATAATATTTTAGAGTTCCTGACAGTTAGTTATATGTACACGTACAGTGTTTTCTCTTTCAACTCTTGCATCCTTTGCAGTTTGGTATCACTACAGTAAACTGCTAAACCATGAATAGTTATATTTAAAACATCTTCAAAACATGTTATTTCAAAGATCCATATAATCAAATAATATGGGGTAAATAGTTGGGTCATCTATGGATACATTTCAAACGACGACAGATGAAAGAGTGGAATTTTTATGACTTTACACTTAACAACAAGGTTAATGGCTGCTAAATCTTTTGATGCTTAACTAAATCAAAGCACAGCACGAATCTGTATCAAACATCTGCCTGATGCAGGTAGCACCTACCCCCACAAAAAAACCTGACTCCTTTATGTGTGTGCGCATTTCTCTGTGTGTGTATTCGTGTTGTGTGTGTGTGTGTGTTTGTGTATGCACAGGCCTGCTAGTTCAGGAGAGGGCGAGAGGACTTTTTACTTTAAACAGGAGACGTTATTGGAACAAGAAATACAGCCTCATTTAGTAACATTGGGGCATTCTACGTTCCCACAAAATACAGTTAACCCACTTGACGATTATTCTGTGAAGGGCTTTGAGGGTCTCATCGACATGACAAGGCACTCTTATCAAAATGCGAGGATTATTATCCTTCTTCTTCAAAGGCAAATCCATTCATTCAAGAGGTTTGAGAGAAAGAAGCTGGGCAAGATTTCAGGACCCGTGTATCCGAATCAGGCGCTGAGCTTGATTTTATTTGCGGAAAATACAATGAGGGTGTATTGACTTTCAAACACAGAATATACAATGAAATGACATGTTTGACTTGCATCGTGAGCACACAGATTTAGCAGGATTCGAGTTGGAAGTTAGTTTTTTTCTCCCCCACAGAACAGTGGATATGTGAGGACACTTTTGATTCTGTTCATTCTCTAGACGTGAAGATCTGTTTGGGAGCGGGATTGATTGGAAGTTCTAGAGAGAGGTTTTAGAGGGAGAATTAAGACATGGCACAGCTGGGCTGTGGGTGCATGATGTTATCTGTTGAAGGAAGACATCCATGATGAAATGGAGGAATACCCTGAAGTTGTATTTTTGTTATCTGTGTAGAACAGGGAGCTTATAAGGATAACTTTCCCTCAGGCGACAGAGTGGATACGTCATTATACAACGAGGCACAAATAATAACAGCAACAATCCTTGCATTTGGCTTGGCACCTTTCATATTAGGACGACATCTCAAAGCTCTCACAGGGTGTATTGCGAAATATTATGACTGTTATGTTCGGACATATTGTGCGTCATCTGTGGAATGTCACAGTTTGAGTGTTAAAGACCTTTTCTTCTATCCTTAAGAGTATGAATGAATTGGCTGTGAGGAGATACTCTCGTTAAGAGTGTGACTATGACTATGTATAAGTCATGTTAGACAAAGCAAATGCATAAACATATGTGTGTTGTGTGTATATGTGAACGTATGGATTAACAGGATGTTTATACACAGAATCGAGAGGGTGAATATGTTTGTGCATACACATGTGGATAAGTAAAAATATGTGATAACAGAAGAGAAAGTGAATGAATGTGTTTAGATGGATGAGTGCACTGCAGATTCATATCTATATTGGTGCAGTCTCACTTGGCAGAATGGTCTCCTTCAGTGCTGTAAAATTCTATGATTTTATAATATTATATAAACTATTGTGCAACTAACCAGCAGTCCCTGAATAGCACCAGCAGTATTTAGAAAACTCGGTTCAGTCACTATTTGCCTTTGATAAAAAGTGTTCTACTTTAATACCTTTCACCGTGTTCTATTAAATGACCCCGTTCAGTACTTTTCCCACAAACATTCACATTCCCCTGGTTTGATTTCAAAGCTGTTGTCATTTGATATGCAAGGTTTGACAACAAAAGCTGAAATCAGATTAAATCGATTGTATGATTATACATAAATGCCCATAGGACAGTATGGCTGGTGAAGAGAGACAGAAAGTTCAGAAACCAGGGACACGATTGATTTTCAATTTCGGGTGGTTGACTGACGTCATGTCCTTTGTCTCGTTTGTGGCTGCATCTTTGGGTGAGAACTCTTCATGTTATCAACAAACTGAATAGTTTATTTTGCTCACAGGATAGGATATCAGATCCCAATGTTTGCAGGATTTATCATCATGTTTATATCAACAATCAGTAAGTATGTCATGTGTTGAAATTATTTTTTTCTGTTTCTCTCTTAAAAAAAAATGTTTTTCTTTGTTGCACCAGATTGTTTAAAGTCTCGGATAAACATTGTGCATTTCCTATATTAAAAAAAACTTGCTATTTATTTCAATCCACTATTCAATTTGATCAATGATGACTTTCGTTCTCTTAGCATGAATGTTTCCTTTTGCAACGATCGAATTGAATCGAATGTGTTCATTACTGTGTGGTATAACACGTCTCTGTTTACCTGGCAGTAAGTAGGAACCTGATTGTTAGTCGATTGGCGGATCGCTTTCCACGGAGTAATAAACCCTTAAAAAAAACCTAAATAATAATTATTTGGTCACTCAAGCCACGACTGGTTGTGGGACACTGCTGTGCGCAATTGGCTGCCACGTTTCTCCATGATATGGACAGTCAATTCTCTTTACAGTATATTCTTGCCTCCTTCAAGGCCGGTCTCAAGATCCTTCTCTTCGACCATGCCTTTGGTCTCCCTCCCGCCTTCCTGCCTTCCCTCACCACTCCCCCATTCTCGGGCCCCGACACCTTCAGCGCTTTGGGACGTCCTCCGAACGTGAAAAGCGCTATATCAAATGCGCGGATTAGTATTATTAATTATGACTATAAACTGTAAACCACATTTGACATTGTTTGGATGACAATCACATGCCTTTTATCTCAACAGTGTTTGCTTTCTCCAAGAGCTATATGCTTCTATTCTTGGCCAGATCTCTGCAGGGGGTAGGTTCTTCCTGCTCGTCTGTGGCAGGTAAGAAAAAAAATCAGGCAGCGAAGATAATTTTTACAGACTGTTTGGAGCAGCTAAATATCCAACATTCACGCTATTTATTCAGAATCGTAATCATAACTGGTGTCTGCTTTGTCACCCACAGGTATGGGGATGCTGGCCAGTGCTTACACCAATGATGAAGAAAGGGGAAACGCTATGGGCATTGCGTTAGGAGGTCTCGCAATGGGAGTCTTAAGTCAGTCTGGAATACCCAACCACACAGCATACAATCCGGCTGTTTCCTAAATGAGTCCAGCGTCCTAGCCTCACCCACTTTCCCCGTTCCAGCCATTAGCTGCTCTCTGTATAAAGACATACTTACTGAGATTGCCCTGAATAAACCTGAATTTGCGCTCGCCTGGCAAGGGGGAGGACCTGGGTTTGATTCCCGGGCAGGATGAAACCTGAGGCACTTTGCTTGCTCCGCACACTTTTATTTCCCTACCAGTAATTTGGAACCTGGTTGTTGGTCGATTGGTGGATCGCTTTTCTGGGGGTAATGATCCCTTTGGAAAAATAATGTGGTCACTCAATCCATGATTGTTCGTTGTGTGCAATTGGCTTGCCACAATAAGGTGCCATATCAAATGCAAAGATTATGATATTATAACTTGGTACAAACTATTCTAGTTAGCTAATTAGTGTTGGGTGGGGCAGTGTCTACACTCGCCAGCTTGATGGGGGAGCCTCGAATTAACTGAAAGCTTTGCAACAACTCCATTTGAGTCTGATTTTTATTACAGATCTTTACTTAAATGCCCGTTGCGATTAATCTCGGGAATCACAATGGATTTCAGGAGAGAAAAATTTCCAGCTGAACACACCACAAACAACACTAAGTTATCTCAGATAATTGAGTGGTTAATTGCAGGTTGTGTTTCTCCTTGGTAAAATAAACTAATGCTGGGAATGATAATTACTTGTAGTCTCTAATTGCGTAAACGCTTTGTAAAAACTTTTGTTTTCAGTTGTGTGGAGGTGAAAGACGTTGGTAGATTTTGGCAGCAAATTACATTTTTATGTAAAACAAAATTGAATAAGCTACAAAATTTGTTAAAAAAAACATTTGGGATGGTTAATATTATACTAGTCAGGAGAAGCATATGAACGCTTTGAAATTAATTTATTTTTCGCGACCAATCCCACTATCGGGGACTCCAAATTAAATGCAGAGTAGAAGGGAAACAAGCTTGATGTGTGCATGAAGGAGAAGGGAATAGAGGGGCAGGAAAGAGAGGATCATGTGGAATATAAGCACTGACAAGCACTAGTTGGCTGAATGGCCTGTTTCTGTGCTGTACCAATCTACGCAAACCAGTACTAACAATTCTGCTTAGTCTACACCTCACTATCCAACATCACAGGACCTCACATGGTCTAAGCTGACATTCCAATACAGTGCCAGGGATATGCTGCATTGTCGGAGGTGCTGTCTTTCGGAGGAGACATTAAACCGAGGTCCCGTCTGCCTGTTCAGGTGGATGTTAAACATCCCACTACTCAAAAAGAGAAGGGAGTTTCTCCCGGTGTCCTGGCCAACAATACCCCAAATAAAATTGGCCATTTGTTTCATGGCTGTTTTGGGGGACGTTGCTGTGTGCAACTGGGCTGCCAGGTTCACTGACAAATACACAGTCACTACGTTTCACAGTAAATCCTGTGAAGTGCTTTCTGACATGATAAGGTGTTATACCAAATGCAATTATTATTGCTATTAAGAACATAAGAATTTGCCAGGTGAAAGAAGACCAAGGTCCATCTAGTTCGCCTTCCACCATCCTGGCAGTCGCTTGACATGTCATGTCCCAAATTATATACTGAATCCCAAGATATTATTTTCTCACAGAAATTTATCTCATTTGTTCTTGAAACAAACAACATTTTCTGCTTCCACTCTCCCTAGGGAGTCTGTTCCATAAATTTACTACTCATTCACTGAAGTAATGTTTATTATTATTGTCAAAGTACAGTAGAAGCCAACCTTTTAGATCCAGTGATTAGCTTCCCTCTTTCCGTTGGTTTGAACGTTCACCCTCTCTTTTAACCGCAAGTATTTTGTACTGATTATCAAAGTTCCTCCTTTACAGTTGGGCCCCCCTTTGGAAGTGTGATGTATCAGTTTGTGGGCAAAACGGCCCCATTCCTGATTCTGTCAGTGCTGGCTCTGCTGGATGGAGGTGAGCCATAGCGAACGTGATGTTTGATTTTTGCCAAGCATTTGGAATGGACTTGTGCAAGGATAATGATGTTTTTTTTGTTGTTTGTTTGTTTTTTTCAGCTCTTCAGCTCTTTATTTTGCAGCCTTCCAAGTCGCAGCCAGAAGTAAGCATGATTTTCTAATTTATTTCCCTGACGTTAGAAAGCTTTTAAATATGAGCGTTTATTGCTTCAAACTTTTTTTTTGAAAAACAACTTTATTCCTTTTATATCTCTCATTTGATCTTTTCCAGAGTCAGAAGGGGAGTTCATTATTTGATCTTTTACGTGACCCTTACATACTGGTTGCTGCAGGTACTGTCTTTGCATACAGATTGGCCTTAGCCACGTATTATAATGGGGAATGGGAGGGAAGTTGGTCTTGTAACTGTCAAAGCAAAACAAGGCTGACATCGACAGAGCCTCTAATAGGTTTGTTGAGGACAAGGAGGTTAAAGTAATGAACTGACACTCTAGCCTGCAAGCAAACTCTTATAACGCCTTCATACAAGTGAAAGTCTAGTCCAGCTCTCTTCTGAGAAGGTCATAATTCCACAGTTAGATACATAAAAAGAACAATATTAATGGATGTACATACATTCCAGACTGATGCCCAACTATATAGGATTAATCCACCCCCAATGCGCGATGTGAATTGACACTGAAAGTAGTTAATATGTTGCCTTCAAAAAGAGAAGGAAGTTTCTCCCCAAGTTCTGGCCAACTATCCCCCAATATAATTAGTCATTTATAATAATTCCTTCCAAAAATAATAATAAAAATAATTTGTTCACTTAATCCACGACTGTTTGTGGGACACTGCTGTGCGCAATTGGCTGCTAGGTTTCACCCACAAAACATACATCAATTTACTTTACAGTGTATTCTGTGAAGTGCTTTGAGATGTCTAAAAGATGTGATAAGGCGCTATATCAAATGCAAGGATTATTATTATAATTCATTTCCAAGGCGGTTTGTGGACAGTGTAGTGCATAAATTAGCTGCTACTTTCGCCCACAGCACAGTCACTACATTTTACAAATGTGTGCAGGAGAACTTTCTGGAACAATACGTTTCCAGCCCAACAAGGAAGGAAACAGTCCTGGATTTAGTTCTGGGAAATGAAGTGGGGCAAGTGGAGTAGGTTCAGTAGGAGAGCATCTGGACAACAGTGATCACAATATCATTAGGTTTAGAATAGTTATGGAAAAGGACAACAATGAATCAAAGTTAAAAATTGGAAACGGGCTAATTTCAGTGAGCTAAAAAGGGACCTGGCCAAGATAGATTGGAAAGAAAGATTGGCAGGTAAGACAGCAAACGAGCAATGGGAAGCCTTCAAGGAGGAGATAGTTCGGGGACAGAGCAAATACATTCCCACAAAGGGGGAAAGGTAGGACAGTCAAACCTCGCTGGATGACTCAGGAAATTGGGATTAAAATAAAACAGAAAAAGGAGGCTTATGACAAATATCAGGTCCAAAATACACCGGATAATCAAATGGAATATAGGAAGTACAGAGGAGAAGTGAAAAGGGAAATAAGAAGGGCGAAGAGATTGTACGAGAAAAGATTAGTAGGAAACATAAAAGGGAACCCTAAGGTATTTTATAAACATATCAAGAGTAAAAGGTTAGTCAAAAGTAGGGTGGGTCCAATTAGGGACCCTAGTGGAAATCTTGTTGAGGCAGAGGGCTGATGTACTAAATAAGTACTTTGTAACTGTCTTCACAAAAGACGATGCAACCAATGCCACAATATCGCAGGCGTGTGAAGAGAAATTGGATATGATAAAAAGCAACGGAGATGAGGTACTAAAAAGGCTGTCGGTGCTCAACATAGATAAGTCACCTGGTCCAGTTGGGATGCATTCCAGGTTACTGAGGGAAGTAAGGGTGGAAATAGCGGAGGCTCTGGCCACAATCTTTCAATCCTCTTTGGACACTGGAGTGGTACCAGTGGACTGGAAAGTTGCAAACGTTACTCCCCTGTACAAAAAGGGGCAGAAGGATAAACCTGAGAACTACAGACCAATCAGCCTAACATCAGTAGTAAGGAAACTTCTGGAGACGATAATCCGGGACATTATAAATGCTCACTTAGAAAAATATGGTTTAATAAAAGACAGTCAACACAGATTTGTTAAAGGCAGGTCATGCCTGACAAACCTAATAGAATTTTTTAATGAAGTGACTGAGAGGGTGGATGTAGGTAGTACAGTAGACGTAGTTTATCTAGATTTTCAATCGAAAGGCATTTGATAAAGTGCCACATAAGAGACTTGTAAACAAAATAGAAGCCCACGGTATTAAAGGGACTGTGGCAACATGGATCCAGAACTGGCTAGGAGACAGAAAGCAGAGTGGTAGTAAACAGTTGCTTTTCTGACTGGAGGGAGGTGTGTAGTGGTGTCCCTCAGGAGTTGGTATTGGGACCACTTCTCTTTCTGATCTATAAATCTCTGAAGGTAGCAGGACAGGTAGATAAAGCTGTTAAAAAAGCATACGGGATGCAAGTAGTTTTACCAGGATGGTACCAGGAATGAAGGACCTTAGTTATGAGGAGAGGTTAGCGAAACTAGGATTATTCTCCCCAAAGCAGAGAAGATTAAGAGGGGATTTAATAGAGGCTTTCAAGATCATGAGAGGATTTTATAGGTTGAACCGGGAAAAATTGTTTCCACTGGCATGTGGGTCAGTAACCTGAGGACACTGATTTAAGTTAGTTGTTAAAAGAACAGAGCGGAGGTTAGGAAAAGAAATTCACCCAGCGAGTTGTTGGGATCTGGAATGCATTACCTGAAAGGCTAGTGGAAGCCGATTCAATCGCAACTTTTAAGAGAGAAGTAGATGAGTATTTGGGGAGGACAAGATTGCAGGGCTATGGAGAGAAAGCGGGCCAGTGAGATTGAGTTGGATTGCTCTTTTTGGACCCAGCGCAGACAAGATGGGCCGAATGGCCTCTTTCTGTGCTGTATGTTTCTATGATTCTACAGTATAACCCGTAAATCACTTTGAGATGTCCTCCTGACATGACGGGTACTATGCAAATTGTAAGGATTATTATTATTATTATAATGTTATTACAACAACAACTTGCACTTATATAGTGCCCTCCATGCAGGGTAGAGCCTCAGAGCGCTCAACAGCTATTACAGTTTAAATCACTCTGTAAAGGTAATTTATAAGTAGTTTTCAGTGATGGGTCAGTCAGACCAATAACACTGCCACTTTACATATGAATGGATGTTACTTTTCTTAGTATATTTGGAGTTCCTAAAATAGCTACCGTTCATAGGAGGTTGATATTTTGTTCACCAGGTATTTTGCCAATTAATTAATATTGTTACTAATATTTTACGGCATATGGATTTTTAGTGAAGTAAGGACAGTGTACATCATGTTAGAAACTGGTCACTGTATTAACTGCAGGGTACACAACTCATATACGCAACATATAATAATGCAGAACACTATATGGGGAAGTGTACAGATATCTTTACTGTGCAAAGGCCACTTTCTAAACATTAATAGGTCCAATAACCTTTAAAATGGTAATTCACTGCAGATCTTCAAGCGTTCCATGAAAGATTACTCTTGTGCAATAACATGTTGATAACATCTTGGTAAACGCAACACAGTTGACGTGTTTGGCGTTTCATTAAAACTTGTTGAAAATTGAAGACAGTTGTTTGTTTAAGTGATTTAACCTTTCAATAACAAATATTAAATGAGAGGAAGAGAAGTGATGTGTGTCATTCTGCCACAGCAGAGTTTGAACAATGTTATCCCTGCCAGTGGCCTTTGTGCTGAAGGAGATATCGTTCCAAGAGACTACAGCCTATGCAAAATTCAATCCCATTGACTAAAATGGCTGATGATTATTAATATTAATGATCATGGTCCAGTTAGAAGGTTGTGGGTTCAAAACCCACGTCCTCACTTTGATCTCACAGACCAGAGTGACGCTCCAATGGAGTACCAGGAGCGCACTGCCATATCCTTCGGATGAGATGTTAAACCAAGGTCCTCTCTGCCTGCTCAGGTTGACGTTAAGGATCCTATGCACTATTTGTAAAGAGAAGGGAGTTTCCCCATATGTCCTGTCCAACAATTCCACAAATAAAATAGGTCACTCACTTCACCACTGTTTGTGGGACATTACTGTGTGCAAATTAGCTACCGCACCTGCCTACAAAGCACAGTCATTACACTTTACTGTGCATCCTATGAAGGGCTTTGAGACTTCCTCATGAAGTAGCGGGCACTCTATTCAAATGTAAAGGATATTTCTCAATAACCTGGTGCTGTTTTCATATAAGGAACCATATGTTTTGCGAACATGGGCATTGCGATGTTGGAACCAGCCCTGCCCATCTGGATGATGGAAACCATGTGCTCCCCCAAATGGCAGTTGGGTAGGTATCCGTACAACTGCTTTGCATTTTTAATAGAATCAGGAATCTCAGAACTGTTTTACGCTGGCATTTCCTTACTTTACACATCTCCGCTTACCTAGCAGTTAGTAAGAACCCGGTTGTTAGTCGATTGGTGGATCACTTTTCCAGGGGTAATAATCCCTTATAAATTAAAAATAAAAATTATAATTTAGTCACTCAATCCACGACTGTTTGTGGGACACTGCTGTGCGCAATTGGCTGCCATGTTTCACCCACAAAATATACAGTCAATTCACTTTACTGTATGTTCTGTGAAGCACTTTGAGACGTCTGAAAGATATGATAAAGGTAATATCAAATGCAAGGATTATTATTATTATTAACAACTCAATATAACTGGAGTAGCACCTCCTTGCTTTGATATTCCAGACCTCTTGTATAAATGCTGAACATCTCATTTGCCCTATTGATCGCTTTCTCCACCTACAAACTAGATTTTAATGATCTATTGACTTGACTCCCTAGACCTCATAGTAGGTTATGCTTTCCGCATAACTTTGTGTAATTTATCTCTAAACTCTTGAACCATGAGAATGCAAGCTTCATGCTTTGCTTTAAGGGGAGCATCTCAAGCAAATATGAGATCCATCATCTTAAATAATGGACTAAAGAACAGAAATTTTACACTGTTCCTACAGGCTTTGACTGAGTGTGTATGCATGAGTCCTGTAGCTAAGCGGTTGGAGCACTCGCCTCGCAAACAGAGGACCCAGGTTTGATTCTCGGGTGGGGTGAAACCTTGGGCAAGTTTCCTTACCCCACACACCTCTGTTTACCTAGCAGTAAATAGAAACACCGGTTATTTGTTGATTGGCAGATCGCTTTCTGGGGGTAATAATCCCTACAAAAAAAATGTGAATAATAATTTAGTCACTCAACCCACGACTATTTGTGGGACACTGCTGTGCGTATTTGACTGCCACATTTGGCCAACAAATAAACAGTTACTGCACTTCGCGATTCTGTGAATTGCTTTGAGGTGTCTCGAGGTGGGAGAAGAGTAGGGAGAGAATAGTTGTCAATTTGAATCAATGCTAACTTCTCTTTCACCTTCTAATCAGCCTCAGTTTGCCTCAAAATTTAAGATTGCGCTGCGGAAAATATTGTTGCAAAGGCTCACTGCTTTGTCAAGGTTAGTGTCAACAAAACGATATGGTGAGGGCAGGGCAATTGGATTCCAGTAAATAGCACCAATGGAGAACAGGTTCCCTGGGGAGACAGTGGAAGCAGAAAATGTTGTTTGTTTCAAGAACAAATTTGATAGATTTCTGCTAGAAAATAATATCTTGGGATACAGTGTACAGTTTGGGACATGGAACGTTAAGCAACAGCCAGGATGGTGGAAGGTGAACTACATGGTCTTTTGCCTAGCAAATTTTTTTGTTCTCATGAGAGTTAGCACACAAAAGCACAAGGGTCCATATTGTCTCCTCCTTTGCTGAAATGCCTGTATTTCTGAGAAATTTGGCATCAGTTCAACTTGTAGTAAAATTAGTCTAGAGAACACAGATGCTAGCGCCTACTCTAGTCAAATCAATAAAGTGCAGGGGTAACTGGGACCTTGTCTGATAAAGGAGTTTTGTATTGTGTCCAAAAGTATATATGAATGAATGAAAAAAGACTGTAAATAAAATAAGGGAACCTGAATTTTGAAAACTGCGATTTTCAGTCGACAGGAAATTCCTTTCAGCCAGTGACAGGAAATTAAAAGTGTTTGCTCAACATTGTGACGTTTTATTAACTTTGTGGCTATCAATACATGCTTCCTGCAGATTATGATTTCATTACATTCTGAGCGTCAGAGACTTTGATAAGATGTTCTTTGATTTGCAGGCATCGCCTTTGTTCCTGCCAGTGTCTCCTATTTAATTGGGACCAACATCTTTGGAGTCCTCGCTCGCAGAATTGGCAGGTACGAAATTTCCTTGCGAGGCAGTTATCTCGGATGGAAAGGAAATATTAAAAAAAAACGGTGTGGATAGATTTTGACTCAACCTTATTCATTAAAAAAATAAGATAACTATATTGCCAGTTTTCCGGTTTCAAACTACATTTAATTTTCCAATACCTCACACGCCCATTTGTGCAAGAAATGAACCAGTCGTTTGAATTTGTTTATTCTTTGAAGGGGAAAAGGTATTAGCTCATCAGCCAAGCCAACTCACTGACAAATAAGGACTTTGACTCTCTCTCTTTTCAAAAACAAATGTAATAACTGCACACACTTGAATGGATTGCAACGCCAATAATTCCTATGAATATTTATCTATTCTCCATCTCACCCTCAGATGGCTGTGTTCTCTCCTTGGAATGATAATCGTTGGAATAAGCCTTATTTGTGTAAGTTTAACAACATTACATCATTTTAACAAGAGCTATTCATAATCAATTTAGTTCAACCAATGCTCATTTCAGTCACGCTTTATTAAATGAGAAAGTTTCTCACAATTTTTTTATATATTGTCTTGAAATCGACCATCACAACTTTTCTTTTGATATAAAATCAAATGATTCTCTGTATTCGTTGATTGGTATTTTACATCTTTATTTGATGTAGCACATGATATTAAGTGTCAGATTGGCTCAGGTGCTAACACACTTCCTTTGCGTCAGTAAATTGTGAATTCAAGTCCTAGCTTGGAACTGGAACTTTAGTATGGAGTCCCGAAGCTTAGTGGTTAGAGCACACACTTTGCAAGCAAGAGGACCCGGGTTCAATCTCCCATGGTACAAAACGTTAGGCAAATTTCCCTACTCCACATAGAATCTTAATCTTCTCTGCTCTCGGGAGAATAATCCTAGCTAACCTCTCCTCATAACTAAGGTCCTTCATTCCTGGTACCATCCTGGTAAAACTCCTTGCATCCTCTCCAATGCCCTAACATCTTTCCTAAAGCGTGGAGCCCAGGACTGAACGCAATACTCCAACTGAGGCCTAACCAGCATTTTATAAATATTCAACATAATCTCCTGCCTTTTGAATTCTATACCCCTATTTATAAAGCCTAGCATCCTGTATGCCTCTGTTTACTTAGCAAAATCCTTGGATCACTTTCCGAGGATAATAATCCCTCAAAAAAAATTGGTCACTCAATCCACGACTGTTTGTGGGACACTGCTGTGCGCAATTGTCTGCCGCATTTCACCCACAAAATACAGTCAATCCACTTTACAATATATTCTGTGAGGCTCTTTGAGACGGCTCAATGATGTGATAAGGCGCTGTCTCAATTGCAAGGATTATTATTATAGTCTAGGTTGACATTTATAGTAGAAGAGCTCAATTGTCCATGGTGTCTTTTCTCGGATGAGATGGTAAACCAATTTCCTGTTTGGCTGTCTTCAGCTGAACATTAAAGATCCCATGAATTGTTTGAGAAAGGGAAAACGGGAAAACTCTTAGAGAACTCTGAAAAAAACAGCTTCCAAACCAAGACTGAAATGAGGAATTTTGCATGCTTTTAAACTTCAAGACAAAAATATTCTTATAGGCTAAGGCTAAGAGGAAATTTTCTGACATACAACTTTATGGAATAATGGGCTCGAGAAGAATATAGACAGATCACATTGATTTTAATTATATTCATTTTGGTTAAGTCAACAATCACTCCAACGGATGGACAAAAAGAACTGATTACCAAATTAAAAACAAATTTAAGATCTTTCCCCAAATTCCTGCATTATCTTCCAAGTCAAAATCATGGTCTTAAAATTTTAGGCCAAGTATCAGAGAGACTGGTGGGTCTGATCTCTCAAAAGTGAGTCTCAATGATTTTTTTCCCCCCTCCCCTAGTGCATCTTGTGAAATATTGCAACTATTTTATGAATCATGTACAAGCCTTTGTGAAGGAAAAGCATCAGACTCCTAGTTTAATGTACATTATTAACAAAATTAACACACAATTGTTTCATCCACAAAATACACAGTCAATCCAATTTACAATATATCCTGTGAAGCACTTTGAGATGTCTCAATGACAAGATAATGCAAATGCAAGGATTATATTATATTATATCAAATGCAAGGATTATTATTAAAACTATTAATAACATTAATGTTATTACAGGTACCATTTGCCAAAAATATATACGGGCTCATTGCACCAAACTTTGGAGTCGGTTTTGCTATAGGTAAGCAAAGTTTCTTAAAAGTATTATTTTGTCTCCACGAGAGCGCTGAAACCTAGAATTGTAGGAGGTTTACAAGTGAGGAAAATGAGTCTCTCTTCACATGTTGGCTGGTTTTGGTAAACAGCAATCAGATGCATTGCGAGTATTACAATTCCATCAGCAAAATAGAAGTTGGAATCCTACTTCCTACCCATTTTGCAATTGATGTACAAGTGTCACAAATTCAATCCCAGTTTGATGTGTATAGAGTGGGAATCAATTACAGATCCGTTGTATCAAAGCCCTCCATGGCCTCCCCCACCCTACCTCTGTGACCTCCTAACCCCCTACCAACCCACACGCTCCCTCCGCTCAGCTGGCTCTGGCCTGCTCCACGTGCCCCGACCCACCCACCCCAACATTGGCGGGAGAGCCTTCAGTCACTCTACCCAACCCCTGGAATTCCATCCCCCAATCACTCTGCCTCACCCCTTCCTTAGCCTCCTTCAAGTCCCGCCTCAAGACCCTCTTCTTCGACCATGCTATCGGCCACCCCCCTCCCCTCCCCACTCCTGACCCCAGCTCGGGTCTGAAATGCTGTATGCTTCCAGCGCCTTGGGATGTCTTCCTGACGTGAAAGGTGCTATACAAATGTAACCTTGTTCATCTTGTTGTTGTATCACCTATTCCCAGTTTTAACAGTAAAAGACCAAAATAGCTGTTAGGAACTTTATCTTAATTGGTGTGGATAGGCTTGAAATGTACTCTGAATGAGCTCAATATTTACCTTGTGAGGTTATTGAAAGGGCATTGATCCAACTGAGGCTCTCACGGAAATGAACAGTCGCTTTCAGAAGTGCAATCAGTGCCACGATTAATGATTTGCTCAGCTCAATTTTAAACTAAAATTTTGTAAGCGTGTAAGGACTTTCCTAATCTGCCTAAACAACATCCCCCAGTTGTTAATTTCAAGTTCCTGTTAACAAAATGTTTGGCATATTTCAGTAATCCTTTGGACTATTGTTGATTTCTTTTGTTCATTAGTTTCTGAGCTTCTGAAATTCATTGTGTGCAGATAATTTGCTTAGACAAGAATTACAGTCTTCAATCTGTTGTGTTCTTTTTAGGAATGGTGGATTCCTCCATGATGCCCATCATGGGTTACCTTGTGGACATACGACACGCCTCCGTGTACGGTAGTGTTTACGCAATTGCAGATGTGGCATTTTGCTTGGGCTTTGCATTAGGTAAGATCCACTGTCATTAACCTACCAGATTACAATCGAATTTACTTTCAATGGCTGGTCAAACCCCAATTTTTGTTATTCTTATTTACAGTTTTCAAAAGAAAAGTCAAACAATAAAATAGGACACTGGAATGTATACATGAGGGAGAGGGGAAGATACAGGGGGAGGCGGAAGATAAGATAGAGAGGGAGAGCAGAAGATAGAGTGTGAGATTCTCATTTATCTGACCCTGTGCTGAAGTGAGGAGAGACAAATTCCACCTAGTCTTAGTCTACAAGACCATTTTGTCTTGAGATGCAAGTTTGCACAGAACATGGAGTATTGAGGGAGTCACCAATTTCGAACTAGTTTGAAATTGCCCAGCCTGGCTTCACACAGACATAGAAACAGAAGTAGGCTGTTCACACTCAGATCCTATTCCGCTATTTTATAAGATCATGGCTTATCTGTACCTCAACTCCAATTACTCGCCCTTGCCCTGTATCCCTTGATACCCTGATACCCTGAACTAACACATATCTATCTATCTCTGTCTTGAAAATGTGAATGGATCCAGTATTAACAGCCTTTTGGGAATGAGAATTACAGATTTCCACTACCCTTTGGGTGAAAAACTACCACCTGATTTCACTCCCAAACCCACAGACCCTCAAAGGAAACGAGTCTTAAGTTAACACAAGGCTGACTTGGTTCAGAAAGGCAGAGGCCAACCAGTAGGGACTCATGAACTGTGGAAAACTTGCTGCTCTACTCTGATAGCACGGTACAGTAGGTGCCGGGTTCAATGAGGCGCCAACAACAACAACTTAGATTTAAATAGTGCCCCTCGTGCAGTGTAGCATCGCAGAGCCCCAAAATGGATGGCGTGAATGTAGAGGAACACATGGGAAAACCTCAGGCAAAAAATCCTCCATTTTATTCAAGGAAAGAATCACCATTGTGGAGTTTTGACACCACAGTGACAACAACAACAACAATTTGCACTCCACATAGGATAACGCCTCAGAGCGCTATAGTAATGATTCAACAAACAGCAGTCAACAAACATACAAGGCGTTGACACTTAACAGTGCATACGGAGCATAACAACAAAAAAATCATCTTTCTTACACTGGGGAATTGGTCACCCATCAAATGAAAAGTATTACGTCAGCAACAAAATAATTTTTCCAATAGAAACCTACCTTTTAACTTTGTGTCCCGGCATTTTGTCAATCACAGGAGGAGCAGGGCAGTGGGAGGCAGGTATCCATCTAATTGCGCAGCACAGGAAGTCATGTCAGCAGTGACCTGATGACCTGGAAGTTGTTCTTTTGGGGGGGTTATTAGAGCCACTGTGCACATGCTCAGTGAAATCTACTATCCCGGTCTCTTTTATATGATTGGGTGGGATTCTGTGGACTCAATTTTCCAAAAGAGAGAGCGAGTCTTATCTCTAAGCGTCCGAGACGATGTCCGGCGCGAAGGGCGTTATATATATATATGTATATATATCTATATAATCTATATGCAAGTTGTTGTTTGTTGTGGCAGTCTATATCCTGTACTTGTCAAATCCCCAGACCGTTCCCCTTCATCAATCCCCTCCCAATGGGGAGGGGTCGCATGGCCTAGTGCATTGCTCCTCCCTGCTGGCTGGAGATTTTAACCATCATATTGCAATTGGCATGAGTTGAATGATAGCCCGCGATAAACAAGAGCAAACAGGATGCTGTGCTACATTGCCAAATTCCCCTACGTCACACTCAAGCTGTGCCATTCTCTCTTCGGGCCACACCTGGGAACACAGTACTATGTAGACATTTGGTCGGCGTGACATTAAGGGGCTAAAGGCTGTGCGGAAGTGAGCAAGCAAGCTATCCCCAGTATTAGGAAGGAATGAGCGTTAACTCATCAGTCTTAAAAATGCCCATCTCTGAGGATGCCTTAAATAAGATGTTGAATTGGATGGAGGAAGTAAACCAGTAAGACGATGTTTAGATACCTAAGGCAGATGAAAGAGCACAGGCTTAGAGTTGAGAACAGCACGTTTTGGACATACACCTAACTTTATCAAATGCCATGGATACTTACAACCACACTATTCTAGAATGCTTTGTTGAGAAGATTATTTTGAATCTTTAAACTATCTGAAGTATCTAAAATATTGGAGTAAACCCAAAAAATTATAAATTGACCAGCAAATTAGTGTTCTATGAAACATTTGGGCAACCAATTTAATCACAATAACACAAGCTACTGAGGTGGGTCCTGCAATTCGAAGATTAGGCTTCTTACAACGTGGAAAATATATTTGGGTCGATTTTTCAGTATTTCTTATCAAATTTCTTCATTATGAAATGTGGAAGTCAGTGATGCCGAGTCACAAAATCACCATTCCAAATCTACTTGTTTTCCGAGTAGGGTTTCCTGTGTAACCGTCTATATGATAAGCAGTTGGAACATCTCATAGGATTTTTGATTCACCCTGTGTATATATATATATATGTATGTACATAGATATATATATAGAGGAGACTGAAATTCCACCCAGTTTTTCCCCTGTAAGAGCTTATTGGCTTAAAGGTTAAGAGTGTGCTGAAATGTGTGAAACATTCTACGATTCAGTCTTAATTTGGTAGCTATTTTTTCTGCAGTTCTTGAAAACAACACAGCTTCCAAATTATGACCGAATTTAAGAATTTGCCACAGTGGGGCGCAATCTTAAATTTTAAGGCATTAAATTGGCCTCACAGGCTAAGGCGAGATGGAATTTTATGACTTAGGATTCGGTCCTTCTCCCGATCTCCTCTTGGTATTCCTGTTGCGTTCTCTGATTTAGTGTGTACTTTTCAGGGCCTTCAACTGGTGGAGCTATTGCGAAATATATAGGATTTTCCTGGTTAATGAGGATTATAGGAGTCATCAACATACTGTACGCCCCGCTGTGCTTTTTTCTTCGAAGCCCTCCAGCCAAGGAAGAAAAAATGGTAAGAGAAAGTTTATGATATGCTATGTATATTAGAGGTATAAAAGGAGAGTGGAATACCACCGAATCTCCCCCCGTAAGAGATATTTGTCTTAAAAGTTAAGAGTGTGCAGGTCAAGGAAGAAAAAATAGTGAACGAACGCTTTAGAGCTTGCTAAACAAACTATTGCTAGCTACTGTACAACTACCGCACAATAACGTTTGAATCTATTTCATTTTAGGCTATTTTGATGAATCAGAATTGCCCAGTTAAAACCAGAATGTACACAACTCAGGACAACTTTCAGAGACAGATTATGGATGATGAAGAGAAAGATGATACTAAGATTAACGAGTGAGTGAGTGAATGAGTGAGTGAGTGGGTGAGTGGAACCACGTTCATTAAAATCTATTTTAATGTACCATATGCAGTGCTTTTGTGTATTAACGGGTTTGTTCTAAATGTATGGCAATTATCATAGTTTGATCATCGTACTATTCAAGCATACCAAAGCTGCACTACCTGCCCAATCTTAGATTAGAAACATAACAATATGGAAAATGTTGGCTCTTGCGTATAAAATACATTGCCAGCAGCCTTATCAAATGAACGGAAATGTTTATTCCAGTTTTCTACTGAGAATCTAATAGCTTTTGATGTGTTTGATTTTACATAGGTATATTATACGATATATTTTTAATTATTGAAAGCAAATTTGTGTATACAACTGTTTTAAATATATCAAGTTCACTGTGATTAGGATGTTCGTTTTCTTATCATGTGGATTTCAGTTCCTCTTTTCTGTTTAAGATGCCTAAAAACAACTAGAATTTTGTTCATCAGTCTCTTCAAATCTAAACAGCTCATTCTATGTCAAATTACAGGATAGTTTAATAGCTGTAGGACCTTTGTACTGTAATGCACTCGCTCTCTCCCTCCCTCCCTACCCGCATTCAAAGCCAATCTCAAAACTTAACTCTGTTTTTCAGTCATTTTTCCCCTCCCCGACCCCTAACCTGCCTCAACCAGCAGTATAAAGTGCTTTGAGACGTCTTCCTGACGTGGAAGGCGAGATATAAATGCAAATTGTATTGCAATGGTATTGTTTCAAATTTAGGGACATTGAAAGGCTACCCAACGATTTGACTTAACAAAAAGCAGCTAGTTTATTTGAAATCAAGTTCAGTATTTCCCTCTGCATACTGAGATGGCTAAGAGCATCTCCCCTGATGTATGGAAAAGCTCTGTACCAGCTGTTCAGACCGATTAGATACACCAAAGTGATTACACAGTAAACTGTATGCATTCACATAATAGAATATGTATTGAAAGAGTACAAAGTAAATACCAATTGCCAATTGGAGAGCTGCTAAATTACCACTATACATGTAGACATTGTGAGCCGATCACTGTTCTGTTTTGTAACTGAAACATTCATGTGCCTTTATGAATTGTAACACGTTTGCATGCAATGTATATGTTGGGAAGTCAATAAATACATCATTCACAAAGCCAGGCGAACCCTCCAACATTGGCTTATCCTGGCAAAACGTGGCGGTGGAATTGGGTCAACAAAGGCTGTGATACCTCGAGACACTTAGCTCAACGGGCATCACAACCACTTATACAACAGTCTCTTACACACTGCTCTCATTGCATAGTGAAGAAATTATGATTTTAAGGTTTTATTTAAAAAAAGCCAACATTTCCTGTGCGTGTAAACGTGCCAACTGTCCACAGACAAAGCAGACGGCTGGTTGCTTTGTAACAGATGAGCAAATAGAGGTACAGAACATATCTGTTGATATATGTGTATGATGTTTAATCTGCGTTCAGATACACGTGCGGAGTCTGTGTGTCTATGGGTGTGGGTGTATTTTCATTAACTGGAGAAATGTCTATAATAAAATATTCTAAATAGAAAGGCATTGAGTTGTTCATTTATTTAGACTTAAGCAGTGATTTCTCGAAGGCTTGAAATCAGACCTGGAGAAAGATTTAATATTGCAGAACCTGAATGAATGTACGATCCTATTTATCAGCTTCCTAAAACATTAGCGTAGATTCAAACGATTGGATGCAGGTGGTACATGACAGTCCCAAGATGAGCGAGTCTTTAAACAGCAAAGTTGGACAACCCACAGATTTCCAATGATCGAACCAAAGCTACAGTGTTAATTCACCCTTTTTTGACTGCCTTAATCAGTTGGAGAGAATATTGGTTTCTTACTGTAGCGCCCGTTTAACATTGAGGAAGCAAAGCCTAAACAATTGTCCCAGAGTTTGGTTTCTAACTCCAGCAATTCACTATTGCATTACTGCGTCCCTTCAAACTGCAGAGGATCACAGAACACTTTAGGAAGAAGGATTGGGATTCTCAACTACAAACCGTGGGAGTTGTGTTGACCCAAAACAGTGTATCCCCTTCAATAAAATAAAATTAGTCATTCACTTCATGGTTGTTTGTGGGACATTATTCGTTAGTCCACAAAACAAAACACGGTCACTGCACTTTATAGTATATTCCATGAAGCACTTTGGGATGTCCTCCTTACGTTAAAGGCACTATACCAAATGCAAGGACTTTTATTATTATTTGAACCACTGGATTAGACTTCTATGGCCAAGTAGAAATTATATGGGTTCTGAGAACTGCACTAAGGCTGGAGATAGATAGTTATAGAACAGATACTCTTTTCAATTTTAACAAAGTAACATATGTGTCGAGCCTTGCTCAGCTAATCCTGGCTCTGTTGGGAGGCATTCTTGGCAGTGAATCAGAAGGTTGTGGATTCAAATCCCACATTGGGACTCTATGAGCACACAGTCTAGGCTGTTGGAGATGCCATCCTTCAGCTGCGACATAAATCTGAGGTATGGTCTGCCTGCTAAGGTGGATGTTAAAGATCCCTTGGGACTATTTGAAAAGTATAGTGCCAAGGGATCTTTAAACATCCTCGGTGTCTTAGGCAACAATTCCCTAAGATAAAATCGATCTTTCACTTCATGCCTGTTTGCGGGACATTGCTGTGCATAAGTTGTCTGCCACATTTGCGAACAAAATACAGTCACTTCACTTTACGTAAAATACAGGAGGACACCCGCAAGAGCTTCATAGGATATACTGTAAAGTACAAGTGACTGTGTCGTTTTGTGCGCTTAGAACTGTCTTCCTGATATAAAAGGTACTAAATCAAATGCAAGAATTCTTATTATTCAAAGGTTTGAAGAATTACTGCGGATTTATGGCAATCAGAAGGTCATGGGTATAAGCCCCATCTAGGTCAGAAGTCATGGGTAAGAATAATAATAATCCTTGCATTTCATATAACACCTTATCACGTCTTCAGGACATCTCAAAGACTTCATAAAATATACTATAAAGTGAATTGGCTGTATATTTTGTGGGCGAAACCGGAACCAATTGCGCACTCAGTGTCCCACGAACAGTTGTGGATTGAGTGACCAAATTATTATTTATTTTTCGAAGGGATTATTATCCCCGGAAAAGCGATCTGCAATACACTGACAACCGAGCTCCTACTTACTGATAGGTAAACAGAGGCTTGCGGAGTAAGGAAACCTTCCCAAGGTTTCGCCTTGCCCGGGAATCAAACCCAGGTCCTCTTGCTTGCGAGTGTTCTAATCACTAAGCTACATGACTCTACAATACCTTGGAGTACAACACCTTGGGGATCCAGTATCACTGTATCAAAGCAAAGAATGTGCATCATTTCAACAATTAATATCCAAAACAGTAATGTGTCAAGCAGTAATCTGCACCTCGCCTGTATGGGTTCCTCACAGTCAGAATTATATTTGACAGAAAATGATCCTAGAGGGATATACCACAGCAATAACTTTTTTTGAATCACTTTAAAGTACAGTGACTCTGAGTGAGTTAATTATGCAGCTGTGTCAGCATAGAAAGTACATTAAATTCACTGGATAAACATTTATTAAAGCAGCATCGCACAAAAGACAAAGTGCTAGATGTGAAATGGTTTATATTGCTGGAGGCAAGGCAATATCTCTTCTAGCAGTAAAGCGATTAGGAGAATCAAGCCTGATTTATACATTCTGCTCCTAATTGATCTAGCCTCAGGCAGAGCAGAATCCCGTCCTTGTGCAACTTTTAAGAGACTATATTACATTGTTATAGAACTGGTCGAAGGCATGTTTTTGTTGAAATGTTCCCTCGAAAGTTCTTGGCCATTCATTCATTCATTCACTGGACTTTTAAGGAATTACAGAATTTCTGAATCGATTGGAATCACTGCACATAAGACTGCCGCTGTGTGAATTTCTGTGTTTTTATTGCACAGCGTGAATTGCCGTGTTTATACTGTGTGGTGTCTGATACACGTGGAAATCCATCACTGTTCCTAAAGAGTATCCAAACCAGAGTTCCACATGTGCATGGCACCTACATATGTACACATTCATGTGTCTGGTATGGAATGTGCATTCTCTCGCTGGAGGGAGGCACCTTGCTTACCTAATTCCATACAACAGGCAGGTTGGCAAGAGCCACTTCTTGGGGAGCCCAAAAGAGTGTGCGTCTGGTTACAACTGGAGTTAAAGCAGCTAAAACCCATTGGAAGCACTGTGTCGCAAGCTTCTCATGATTTATCCAACTACGGCTACCCAAATCATTAGAGAGCTTGCAGGGTCAGCAGGAGCTCAAGGGGAAGAATCCTGCTCTCAGTTTCGATGCATCGATCATCTAGTTCTGCAATGTATAATACAGTGAGTTTTCATATAGTCCAATATCAATGCCCTTTTGGTCAAGACATAATGTCTGGAAAATGTTAATTTCATGATATAATCACCAGGCTTCTTAAAGTGCTAAAATATGCATTTATTAGCAATTTGCTTGTGACAGTATTTCCTGTATTGTTGATGCAAAGGCAGAGGAAAAGAATTACTAACACTGTTCGTAAACCTACATTATTTCCACGATGTGTTGCACACTGAAATAAGGAACGATTACCACTGGAATTCAACTTCCCTTTGCATCCGGTGGGAAACATTGTCTAATCTACTTTTTGCCTAATTGTCTTCTTAGAAAGGATAATAACACTCTGAACATCTTAATGATAATAATCCTTACATTCAATATAGCGCTGGTTCTGTCAGGAGGACGTCTCAAAGTGCTCGACAGGATTTACTGTAATGTTTGTAGACAAACACAGCAGCCAATTTGCGCACAGCAGTGTCCCACAAACAGCCGTGAATGGAGTGACCAATTTTATTTGGAGGATTGTTAGCCCAGACATCGGGAGAATGAAACTGCCTTCTCTTTTCAAATAGGGTCATGGGATTTCCAATGTCCACTCGAACAGGCAGTGAGAACCTCGGTTTAACATCGCATCCGAAGGTGATGACTGGGTCTGGGAATGAGACTGAAATCAAATGAATGTTGTTCCTCACAGTAAGATTGCATTAGGCTCTTCACAAGAGTATTATTTGATCAGCTGTGAAAGCTAGCCTTTACTTTACAGAATGGAGGTTTTATTCAGAGAAATAAATTCTGAGATAAAACTTAATTATCTGTCTGATGAAATTAGGTTCGAAGAAACCCTGGGGAAAAAAAGTAGGGACTAAATTGAATACTCATGTTACATGCATTCCTAAACAACAGAGTCTACTCTAACTCATTTGTTATAAACTATGATTTGGACAAGTGGAAGAGCCTGCAACCTGCAGAAAGACCCCATCAGAAATTGGTCAAGGCTCCAGTTACCTGCCGACTCACAATAATTGGGTCATTGGAGCATAATGAAACAGGTAAAAGAGGAGGCCATTCAGCCCACTGAGTCTGTTCCACCAATTTATTAGATCCTATTAGATCCTTTCCATTCCAATGTCTCTCCTGTTCTCTCGCCGTAGCCCTACTATCCAAGAGTGATCTACAATTTGGGGGCTATCTTTCAAAGCAGTCAAATGAATAGTGAATAACCTTCATTGGAAAAACAAGCCAAAATAAATCAGGTTTGGTCCTTCATCTCAAAGCTGTTTGTGGGATGCTGCTGGGAGCAGATTAGCTGCCGTGCTTTCCTGTAAAAGCAACAGTCACTAAATCTCAGGCCACACAAAATATTTGAGCTTAATTAGCTTGTCTGGAGAGAGTCAGACTTTCCGAAATTACTGTAGTTTTGAAACACGCAAACAAACGACATCCGACACCAAAAAATGAACAGAGTAATACATTTCAAAACAACCATATTCAAATGAAAAAAAGTTACAAACCAAACAATCTTGCGACATCATGTTTTATTGGGCAGTGCAGTCGACGTTCTAAATATCCAACCCTCTGTTTTTACGTTGAGATTTTAAAAAAATAAAAGTGATAAGAGATCGAGATCCAGTTAACAAACAAAAAGGAAACAGTGCCTTTCAAATCAACTCAAGCCCATTTCAGAAAAGACGTCCCTCGCTTCACTTAACTTTGTTTTCTCTTTACGTGAAAGTGGGCAGCGGGTTTATCAATGTGAGTGTTTGAATCTATCTGCGTTATAGTTCCGTGAAGTCACGTTAGCTGTGTTAAACCCAGCAGCGGAATGGCTTCACTGTTTAATGTATCATTTTAAATATGAATTAAATAGCCACATCTTTATCATAAGCATTATTACAATTGCTTTAAAGGTGATTTGCACAGGTCATTTTTTGTTCCCTGCATTCCACAGTAGTCATTTTCTTTAAATTATAAATATCGACATCGGAGAAACTTTTTACCAGATATACAGTAACAAACTCAGCTTGTACTAAAATACTTTTTAATAGACGCAACAAGCCCACCACCCACAGTTTGCTATTTTGATACACGTTTGGCAAAAAAAAAAAAAATGGCTATGCGATAAAACACAAATGGTGAACTTAATTATAAATTATGACATGATTGCGATTCTAAACCCTGGACCCATGACATAGCTTGAACCCACTTTTCCAACGTACAAGGAACTTGCTTGCGGAGTGCTACAATGCCAGCAGTGAGTTAAATAGGTTTCGCTTAATGCTATCCTGTGGCACACAATCTTGTTTCGGGGAGTGGCGGGAGAGTGGGGGAGCGGGGGGGGGGGGGGAGGTGAGCATAAAACGAAAGAGGCCGCATTGGCTTAATGAGGCTATAGACACATTAAAAGTCCAATTACACGAGACAGAGTAACAGCAGCATTATTGCACAGAAGCGGAAGCCAATTTTTGTTTTTTTTAAAAAAAAGGAAGAGAGAAAAGAAAACGGTGGCTATGGTGCGCGACCTTCCTATCCGGAACTTGAACTAAAGTTACGAAAGGGATTCGGTGCCGTCGATCAACTGCTCGGTTGTTACTTCGGCGAAGGACTGCAAGTCTGTGTGGCCGGCCACGTCACTGTCATCCGCTGTCGTGGGGTAGGCGGTCTCGTCCGAAAACTTCACCGCCTTCCTTCCTTGCTGTTCCGAAGCCGAAGCGTTCTCGTTTGATTCGAGGTCCTCAACCCCTGCCTTGTAGTGAATTGTGAGTAGTGTCAAGGCCTGCAACCGCTCCCCTGATTTGGAGAGAGAGGCGGCCAGCAGCAACCTCTTCCTTGGGTCGCTCGTCTCCTTCTCCTCCTTGACCAGAGCGTTGTTGTGTTCCAGTTCCTGATCGATCTCGTGCTGCAGCTTGTCCAACATCAGCTCCAGTTTCTGAAACCGTTCATCCGTGGGCAGCCCTCGGTACAGATCTCGCCCGATCTCCTTCACGGCGATGAAGACGCTGTCGTCGAGGCCTCCTTCCTTCTTGACGGACAGCTTCGTGCCCGTGTTGGAGGAAGAGGAGGAGGTGGAGGTGGAGGCGGAGGCAGAGGAGGAGGAGGACTGACGTTTGGAAGGGCTGCTGCCGCTGTACGTTTCCGTGTCGCTGCTTTCGTTGTCCGAGGTGTTGGGCGTGTGCTTGGGTGAGGGCTCGGCCAGATCGGGCACCCCCGGCTCGGCCAGGCGGGTCCGGGGCCCTTGCGTGAGGTTCATCAGGCGGGTCTTGGTATTGATGAGGTGCCGGGTTAACCCCGTCCTGTTAAACGACGTTTTAGCTTCCAGGTCGCTCCGCCTCTCCGTGGTGACACAGAAAGGGGTTTCAGCCAGACACTTGTCCTGGCATTTCTTGTGGCAAACGTACGAACAGATCATGCACTTGGATGCTGCTTTGGTCCACACCTTCTTCTTGCAGTACTCACACCAGGTGGGATTCTGAAACTGAGTGTCCTGGAAATTGTGCTTGTTGTCCGTGCTCAACATCGACCAGAGGTTAGCCTCCTCCTTACTGACCGCGGAGACCTCCTCCGGCGGAATGTCCTCCTTCTCGTTTTCCACCGCAACGCTGGAGTTCTCCGAGTCACCCTCCTGCAGATACGTAAAGTTTAACGTCAGGTCCCCGTAGCACAGTTTCTCGTTGAAGCCCTTGTGGGTGCTCAGGTTGCGCAGGGCAGTCCTACTGCCCACAGCGCGTGGCTCGGGCGCGTTCAGCCTGAAATTGCTCTGAAACTCCATCGAGGCTGTCGCCAGGCACTCCATGGCGATCTCTTCCAGTTTAATGCTGGCGTGACCCAGGCAGAGGAGGTCACCTACTTTGAAAGGCTCTCTGCACCACAGGGCCACGTTGAGATACTTGTGCTGTCCTTCCACCTCAAAGATGCAAGAAGCCTTGCTCCATTTCCCGTTCTTCTTCTTGTACAGGGTTTCCGAGGATTCCCAGGTGTGGCTACCCTCGGTCACTTCGCGCGCGCTGCCGCAGGAAGCTTCCGGAACTCGCTCCTTGCTCTCCTGCTTGGCCACGGGCGGTTTGGACACTGGCGGGTCTTCGCTTTGCTCCGCGCCTCTGCCTAAGCCTTTCTCCGCGGTTTTCTCCACGTTGTTGGTCAAGGGCAGGGGCTTGTCCAGCCTTTCGGTGGCTATCTCTGCTGTTTCGACCAAGTATTGGGTTTCTGAGGAAGCCAAGGTCACCTTGATTTGGGGTCTCGGTGGCACAGGTGGCTTGTTGGTAGAACCCAGCGTTACCTTATTTGGCTGCTGTGTCACGTCAGTAGTTTCTGGACCCTTTAGTTGGGAAGGTTTTGTTGTGTCTTTCAGTTGCGATTTCAATGGGATCGGATAATTGCCCAAGTTCAACTTGCGATTCAGAATCGGGGATATGGTTCCCATTGGCTTTGTGGCAAGTGCAGTTACGGAACGCTTTGGGCTGTGGTTGATTTGGGTCAAATCCTCCTTCAACTCTGCGGGCTGTAGTTTTATTTCGGGACAGACCAGTTCTTCAAAGTCGGAATATAAATCCCTGTTGTCGCCACCGTCTAAAGTATTGTCATCGTCAACAACCGGCTGACCAAATTGTGAACCAAATCCACTGTCCTCGAAGTTCTCTTGGAGTGAGCCGCAGTGCGGATTCTGGTGTCTGCCAACCGGTCTCTCGTAAACAAACAATATCTTGTCACCAGCTTGTTTTATGAGCTTAAAAACTTGTGGGGAAGATGTCACTTTAACTCCTGTTGAGACATCGAAACACAAATTTATTACCAGATGAAAATTCCTAAAAACTTTACACTAGCGCTACAGTTTACAGTACATCCAATGAAGCGCTTTGAGATGTGCTCCCGACCTGAAAGGAGCTATCCAAATTATTTTATACAGTAACTGCACTATCTTCCTTCATTGTCCAATTGCTGTGCATCTTGCCTCATGCTAGGTCCTTTAAGCCTTATAAGATATAATAATAATCCTTGCATTTGATATAGCACCTTATCAAGTCTTCGAGATGTCTCAAAGCGCTTCACAGAATATACTGTAAAGTGAATTTACTGTGTATTTTGTGGGCGAAACGCGGCAGCCAACTGTGCATAGCAGTGTTCCACAAACAGTCTTGGATTGAGTACCACTTTATTTATTTATTGAAGAGACTATTACCCCGGAAAAGCGATCCATCAATCGACTAACAACCGGGTTCCTACATACTGCTAGGTAAACAGAGGCGTGTGTGTGGAGTAAGGAAACTTGCCTAAGGTTTAGGGCAACCTCGGTCTGCTTGCTTGTGAGGCGAGTGCTCTAATCAGTAAGCTGCAGGACTCCATATAGAGCACCCCGGTAATTCAAATCGTACAAGAATTGCCCAGTTAGTTGTGTGATGCACTTTGAGATGTTCTCCTGACCCGAAAGGCGGGGTATAAATATAAATTGTTGGTGTTCTAAGTGATTGGCAGGGTTTTAAGTGGTATTCACACTCATTGGATTCGTATGAGATTCATTGAGATCTGAATCACAGATCTTTCCAAGTTTGTTTGGATGAAACGATTAGCGAGGTCTTTAGATCATTGTCTGATATTGTAACAGCACTCTCATCACTGGCGGGATAATGATAATAATAATGATGCAAGTAATAATAATTCTTGCATTTGGTATAGCGCCTTTCGCATCAGAGGGATGTTCCACAACACATCACAGAAATTGCTTTAGCAAACGCAGCGGATATCTTAAATGTATTCAAATCAACAAACCTTGACCCCTTCACATGGACCCATGTTAACTAGTTACATAATCGAGATAGGCGACTTCAAATATAACCTCAACCGAGAACAACTTACATTTATCTAGCGCCTTTCACAGTGTAGTATCTCAGAGCGCTTGCATTACAGAGGATGGTGGTGAGCACCAAGGTGCACCATTGAGTGGATGTTAAATAAAATCAGTGGGCGTGGGGGAGAATGAGGTCTCATACATAACAACAGCAAATTACATTTATATAGCACCTTTCACGTCAGGAGGACATATGTGCGCGTGTACAATGATGTTGACACTTTGATTCTAAACATACATTAGTGTCGACGAAAGGATCACTATGAAATAAGTGAATAGGATTTTTTCCAAGCGAGTATTGTGTGTGTGTGTGGGGGGGGGGGGGGGGGGAGAATGTGGGATGTGGGGGGTAGGAAGGGGTATTTGACGAGAGATGCAGCATGTGGTTTATGACGAAGCTGGAACACCTGCTTCAATTCTGTTTCCTTCACGTAAAGGAAAAAACAGACCTGCAAACCAGATGCAGCTAATTCAAAAAAACCTACTTTAACAAGCCAACTGCACACACGTACCACACACATATACACAGAGTTTGGTTTGTTCTTGTACACCTGCTTTTTCTTCACTCCCATCTACATAATTCTCCCCCCGCCCTCCCACCCCATCCCCAAACCACCACTGATTCAAAATTTAGCAGCCTAGGCTTTTGCAAGGCTAAGATACGTTTTCTATATGATTGTGAGCCTGGCTCAGTTGGTACCCCTTTAACCTCTAAGTCATAAGGTTGTGCGTTGAAACACCCCAACACCCCCCATTAGACCTGAACCCATATAGTGTAGGCTAACACTCCAGTGCAATTCTAGGGGTGTGCTGTATTGTTGGAGGTGCTGTCCTTCATCGGCCATCCTTCAGTCCTGTGTGCCTGTTCAGGTGGATATTAAAGATCATGTGGCACTAGTTCAAAAGAGAAGGGAGTTTTTCCCAGTGTCTTGGCCAACAACCACCCACCAACCCTCAGATAAAATTGGTCATTCACCGAAAGGCTGCTTGTGAAACGTTGCTGCTTGCAAATGTATCACAAACAGCCTTTAGGTGAATGACCAATTTTTGCTTGATGCCTACAAAGCAGCAAGCAAAAATTGGTCATTCACCTGAAGGCTGTTTGTGATACCAAATGCATTTTGGCTTGCTGCATACAAATACAGTCACATTAAATCCTGTGAAGTTCTTTGAGATGCCTAGACAATGCGAGAAGGCGCAATACCAATGCAGGGACTTTTAATGTTTACTTGAATGATGTTTGGGGGCCTTGGTTTGACGTCTCATCCAAAGGACAGAACCTCTGACAATGTCCCAGCACCTCATTGGAGCGTCAGCCGAGCTCACGTAACTTCAAAGTCCCCACTTAGGGCTCGAACCGACACCTTTCTGAGTCAGAGGTGAGAGTGCTACAGACTGACTGAGTCAGGCTGACACCTGTACCTTCAGAGCACCGTTGCTTTGGTCTAGAAAACGATCTGGTCGCAAGCTCACTGACTGCTGAGCTGGCTTTCACCTGCAGGCTCCCGTTAGCTTCTGCTGCAGATGTGAGATGCAAGGCCACTTACCCCCAATGGCAATAAGCCGGTCTCCCCTCTGAAGGTCAGCGGCCGCAGCCGGTGAGTTGGGTGTCACGGATTCCACGTTGACGTGCACCGGGTCCCCATCAGTACCCTGGACGTGGCGGAAAGTCAAGCCCACACTTTGGGAATTTCCCTTTATCAGTTCCACCTATTTTTTTTTGAAAAACGCCAAGTAAAGACAGACACACAGTCAGTAATCAAGCGAAGCAACGGTCTTGAAACATAGCTCCGAGTTTGTGAGAGAACCGAGGAACAATGAGAATTTTTTTTAAATAAAAGAGGAATAAAGACAAAATCCAAGAAGCCAACTATTCACGAGTTTTTTGGTTGGTAAAACATTGGAATGCCATGAGCAGGCAATAATTCTTGGCTTTTACTCAGAATGACTTTGCAATGGTTTCTCACCATAGGACAAGGCAGCTTCCAACAAAACAACAATTCTGGGAGCAGATGGTGGATGGAGAGAGCGCGGAAATCATATATAATCAATGAAGTGAAGACTGATAATACCAGAAAAGAACACAGTATTTATCGGAATCAATTGAGATGTATAAAAGTGGATTGGGGAGGGAGAGAGGGAGGGAGGGAGGGATGGAGGGAGGGATGAGGATTATGTAAAAAAAGGAAACTCGAGTTAAGGAAACACCATGATCTAATAAATTAACAAAACAATCTGAATTGGCGGAATAATGTATTCCTAATACTATGTTTGCACTCTTATGTCCCATCAATCTTTACGTAAAACTGGGAGAAAATATCAGATAACATATTTCCAGGAATGACAAAGAAGAAATTAGTGTTTATGCAAATATAGATATGGGTACATAGAAGACATAACACTCTAAAAATACCAAGTCTTGGTTAATTTGCACATTATAATTGTAAAGTTCAGCTTTGTTGCTGACCGTTAAAATAATTAATAATGATCTAATAATCCTTGCATTTGATATAGCACCTCATCCCGTTGTCAAGACGTCTGAAAGAGCTTCACACAATATATTGTAAAATGAAATGGCTGTATATTTTGTGGGCAAAACACGGCAGCCAATTGCACACAGCTTCCATAGTCTGGGATTGAGTGACCAAATTATTTTTATTTATTTTGAAGGAATTATTACCCCCAGAAAAGTGATCCACCAATCGACTAATAACCGGGTTCCTACTTACAGCGGCGAGTGGAGTAAGGAAACTTGCCCAACGTTTCGCACTGCTGGGGAATCAAACCCAGGTCTCTCGCTTGCGAGGCGAGTGCACTAACCACTGAGCTACAGGACTCCACTTAGGAGATCTTTAATACAAGCCCTTCTGCAAGAGAGAACAGTTGTAACTTCTGAAGGTTTAAGTCATCAGCATGACCAAAGTTGCAACTGACATAAATCTTTTTGCCGTTTTCGCCAACTTACTCACTGACTCAACTGAAAGGTCAAGGAAATGTTACTGGCTTGCTGCCGGAACAGCTGGCAGGCATGTCAACAGTGATTTTCTTACACTGAACAGAAAGGTTTGAGGATTAGATTACTGGTGGTTTGAAATCAAGCTGCATAGTCAACCTAAAGAAAAAGGCATAATTAGCCTCAAGTTATTAGTGTGCTGGAGCAGATTGCTATCAATGCCATGCAGTTAGAGAGACAGACATGGCATCATCCCTTGTGTTGATATCAGGCATCCCTCTATACATCTGAGAATCATACAGCACAGAAGGAGGCCATTCAGCCCATCGTGTCTGTGCTGGCTCTTTGAAAGCACGTTCCAACCGGTGCCACTCCCCTCCGCTTGAAAGTTATTATCGAATCTGCCTTTCGGGCAGTGCATTCCATACCGCAACAGCGTGCTGCGCAAAACAAAATTTCCTCATCTCCCCTCTGGTTCTTTTGCCAATTGTCTTAAATAATTAACCCATTAAACCATTTTAAAGGTCCACGTTTGGAACACTTTCCGTTCACTTAGAAACCGCATAACTGGCCAAATGACTTTCTATCCACTGCGGATGGTCAATTCTGTCTAATAAAATAGCGCATGAGAATGCACATCATATCTCACATCACCACAGGTACACAGCAAATCTCACAGGCTAAGATCCAGGTGGAGTTCAATCCCGGGCATAGCATGATATTTGTGGGAATTGTTGGGTGAACTTGGTTGCCCAGTTGTGCGAATTCTAGTACTGATCAGTAGAACCAGAGGACATGTCCTGCGATTGAAGGAGAGGGTGGCAGGGGTGTAAATTCAGAACAAATCTATGGAAACACAGCTTCAGTGAGCGAGTCGTAAACGTACAGAACAGGCTCCCTCGGGAGACAGTGAGCAGAAAATGTTTGTTTCAAGAACACATTAGATTTCTGCTAGAAAATAATCTCTCGGGATACGGTATATAGTTTGGGAAAGACATGTCAAGCCACTGCCAGGATGGTGGAAGGCGAACTAGATGGACCTTGATTTTCTTTCACCGAGCAAATTCTTATGTTCTTAACTTCAACTTCCGGTTGTCGGGCATTGAGTTGGTAAATCTCAAAACATTCCCAAATCCCCCAAAACGTTCAAAGTCCCAGAATCAACAACTGTGGTCTGCCCACACTCCCCAAACGTGCTTGGCTGTTATTCCTCACCATCACAACCTCACTGTCTCCTCCTCTCTATTTAACCCTGCTCCTACTCTCACTTCCTTGATATACAGGGTGACCAAAAAGTTGTGATATCTATCCTGTTATTTNAAAAAAATCATCATTTCTTTAAGGCTTATGAGACGTTGTAATGGTATCACAACCTTTTGGTCATCCTGTACAATACAAATGACATCTACACAGCTACTTTCACGTCAAGAAGACGCATCAAAGCTCTTAACAATTCTGGCTGGGCACCTGAGCTGGGAGTCTGAGCCGAGTAGGTCCGTGGGCGGAACCTAATTGCATATAATGTATGTAATGTATCACAAACCCGATGCCAATTGACGCTTTCCAAAATTGTAAGTGCAACACTTTTTCACAAGGTATTCTCATGAAACGTAACCATTCTGATCTTTTTTGTGCAGCAGAGAGATAAGACAATCAGCACATCAGGCTGCACTGAATTTTAAGCAGGGGATCAGGCGTAAAAAAGGGCAGACAGATAGCTCCATGTACAAGCCAGATCTTCAGTGTGAATACAATAACACAGCTATATTTTTTGAAAGCATAAATTCCCCCCCACCCTTCCACCTGCTACCCCCACCCACTCCGTCCATCCACCCGGTCCCCATCTAGTTCACTGCAAAAGAACTGGAGGCATTGTTCGAGTTGCAGGTCATCTCAACACGTTGTACAATGTTCAATTCATTCCAAGCTACAATAAATGACAGTAGCATTATTATCAACAGGATGATTGTTTTACACTGCTGTGTGCAATGGTCTGCTGCGTTTCGCCCACAAAATATACAGTCAATTCACTTTACAGTATATTCTGTGAAGCACTTTGAGACATCTCAAAGAGGTGATGACAACAACAACAAGATTACATTTGTATAGCACCTTTCACGTCGGGAGGACTTCCCAAGGCGCTGGACAGAGTACAGCATTTCAGACCCGAGTTGGGGTTGGGGGGGTAAGGGAGGGTTGGTGAAGAGGGGTGGTTGATGGCATGGTCGAAGAGGAGGGTCTTGAGGTGGGACTTGAAGGAGGCTAAGGAGGGGGCGAGGCGGAGTGACTGGGGAATAGAATTCCAGAGGTTGGGGGCAGAGTGGCTGAAGGCTCTCCCGCCAACGGTGGGGCGGGTGGGGCGGGTGGGGCGGGGGGGTCGGGGGACGTGGAGCAGACCAGAGCCAGCTGAGCGGAGGGAAAGAGCGGATTGGTAGGGGTTTAGGAGGTTGCAGAGGTAGGGTGGGGCGAGGCCTTGGAGGGCTTTGTATGTGAGGACCAGGATCTCCTTCAAAGTATTAAGAAAACTGCAGCTTTGTCAATCTCTAGCAGAGTATTAACAACACAGTGTTAAAATCACGTTATATATATATATTTTTTAAATGGTGTTAATACAGACGGGGAAAGTAGACTGTGTGCTTAAATGCACCTCATTTTCAGCCCGGGATACAGCACTGAAGCTCAAAGATCACTAGGAGAATGGAGACAGGCGCTAAGGCAATTAAAAGCCAATGATTAGCTGTGTGGAGAACACATCATGACAAGCAGCAGTACAATTACAGGAAGCAATAACCTTTTGCAGGCCTGAAAAGCAAACACACCACAAGCTAATCATACCTTTCATCTCAGAATTGGACCTTAACAAGCACTCCTGGCTACAGCACCTAGACAGAACCCTTGATCACAAGCCAGGACTGCTTGTGAATGCTGATGGGCATATACAGAAGAACTTTTTTTTTCGAATTTCCTATTTCCCTCGTCACACAGGTGTTTTGTGTGTGTGTGTGTGTGTGGAGACGAGAGAATCTATAGATATTGGTATCAATAAATCAATGCTTTTTTTCCTTTGCATAGAAAGCCAAACTCCTCTACCCGCAGACCTGACCCAAAGCTCATTGTCGGACCACCCTTACGGTAAATTCATAGGATTTACTGTAAAGTGTAGTGACTGTGTATTTGTAGGTGAATGTAGCAGCCAATTCGCGCACAGCCACACAAAGGCCGTGAAGGGAATGACCGATTTCATTTGAGGGATTGCTGGTAAGGACACTGAGAGAAACTCCCTTCGCTTTCTAAGGAGTGCCATGAGATTTTTAACATCCACCTAAACATCCAAACTTGGTATAACATCTCATCCAACGGATATTACAGTTCTCCCACCCCCACCCCATCCCCATCACCCCCCAGCACTGCACTGAAGTGTCAGCCTAGACCAGGGGGGGGTCCAACCTTTTGGCTGCTGAGGGACGGATGCTCTATTTGAGAAACATCCGTGGGCAGCATAAGCAATATTCTTTTGTTTCCTTTCCAGAAACACAACATAATAATTATGGGATATGGAGGTGGGCGGGTGGGCCAGATGAAATGGAGGGGGGCGGGGGGGGTAGGGATGAAATCAGCCTGTGGTGGCCCACCCTGGCCTAGACTATGAGCTCAATAATAGATTCAAACCCACCACCTTCTGTCTCAGAGGTGAGAGAGCTACCAACTGAGCCAGGCTGACTCCGACGGGTTCTGTGAAAAGATTGCGCGTGTGTGT